AGACATTCCAAACTTTGGATTCCTATATTCGACTATTGTTTTATTCTCCTTTTTGTAGGCTATGATTATTGATGCTCTTGAATTAATAGAACCTGTACTTAATCTTCGATCCATTAGCATGAACGCATTAAAATATCAGAATCCAGATAGTTTGAATGATTTTCTTAAACTCCATGATTCACTTTTGTGGGATGTTTTTTATGGACGAGGATCATTATCAAGAGTTACTTCGGAAGATTTTCTTCCTCGAATTCAACAGGCGCAGTCTCTAATACGTCGTATTTTAAATCGAGATCTGTATACCTATATTGATAGTGTATATGAAATGACATACTATGCACCAATTGGTGAAAATAACAGTCACCCACATTCTTTCAATCCAAAAAAGTTCCCTGATTTAATCAATGAAGTAGCAACTGAATCATTAACATTACGATCGATGGGGTTAGGACTAGGTCCTAGAAAAAGTCTATGCTATGAACCAATTTCACCTCATTACAGGACATTCGGGGTGACGTCAAATAATAAAGTTAGTTACATTTTATAGTAATTTTTGTTTGTATCATACCTTAATTATTGGACCTTTTTAGTTCACTGAGTCTTGTGGATAGATATAATCCTGTATTTGTGCACATTAGTAATCGATCCATAATTTGTTTGTTTAACAGATTTTCACAAATATTTGATAATATATTTTCACCTACTATAATAACATTACATCACCAGACTATACACCGTCATATGACCATGTTTTTTAGGTTTTGAAAAGTCAAAGTTGTGAAGTTTTGTTTAGGTCTGAAAAGTCATCAACCTCATGAAACAACAAGCACCATCTTACTAGTTTCGTATTCATAAAACGGTAAGCACAAAACCTAATTATATATATATGCAAGTACTATGTAATCATATCTCAACTAACTTAAAATATGCATAAAATTAAACTTGAAATTTTCGTACTCCGACGCAATGAATAACTGATGTCACATAGACTATTCAGTCTGGTGACTTTGGGTCCAGTGAGCTCGTCACCGACCAAAAACTCCTTGACGATCAAAAAGATGAATGACATTAACATGTCGGTGAAAGTGAACGGTGGATGGTTAATAATTGCATATAGACAGATATGTATGAAGCGTAATACATATTTTACTCAGGCCTTCGCAACTGTCGTAACTTTATGTACGTTGATCCATCCCTATATCGTGTTCTCAATCGGAGTTGGTGTAACTTGTGAGAGACAATTCTTACGCCTGGGTATCTAGTATAGTGCATGACAATCCTGTACATTACAGAATCGTTTGTCCTAGGAAAATAAATCACATCAGCCTTCCTGGGACATTCCAGAAACACGTCAAACCAGTTCTAACTTCAGTCTCTATTGTTAGTAACAATAAGTGACTTATCCTTCTGTTTGACGATCTGAAAATGGATAATCACATTTGTCTTGACATTTCCAGAACATAAACTCTTAAAAATATTTGTTAAATATTTTATCTTATGTATTCGATACTTGTCAAATACTAATCTCTATGTTACCAGTCCACTTATGTCTTAATTCACTGATGAATCTAAATTATGCTAATTAAAATAAAGTTATTAAAAAATTACAGACCAACTAAATCTTTCTGAGACCCATTTTAAAGACATTTATCTTCACAATAGTTCATATGTCAGGAATTAGTTCGAACAACAGGTAGTACAGCATAAATTTCTGCATTGATTCATCTCTATTAATTTCCTATCTTCCTCAAAATCGTTGGTTAATTTTCATTGCTTGATCTTATCTATACCTTTCAAGTTGTTTTTCTCACTTTTTTTTCCATAATAATTAAATTATATAACTGATAGCATGGAATATTTTTTCTCCCTCTTCCTCAAGTATACTACGATAATACGTTATATCAGATCCAGGATTTCCGACCCAGAATAGAGAACCAGAGTATAGACTAGATAATACTTTGTTCAGCACAATTACAAAACAGTTGTTCTCAGTTAAAGCAAGGGAAATCACTTATTTAAAAGTCTGTGGGCTGTGACCAAATATATTTACGTTCACTACCACATAATTAAAATTAGTTTCTCTGCTTCACATGTCGCCTTGGAAATTCCCCTGATTGATGTTCTGCTGGGAATAACAGTATTTCGGACTGATACAAATTCATCCGAGACCCCTACATCGATGATAAATGAATCGAGAAATCTAAATGTTATTTTCACCTTCCCTATTCTGTTTTATTTTATCGGTGTGGAAAATGAATAAGAGCCAATAGAACTGTTCAATAGTGTTCGACCACTTTGTAAATACCAATGTTTTACCCTGAACTTGTTATTGGAGCTCTGGTTTTGATATCTTTCCAAGTCTTCTAATGGACGATCTACTTTGTTCTGATCAATCAAGTCAAGATGATAAATCTCTCTTCTAAAAACTTCTGCAAATTATCTCGTAATTTTTCATTAATTTGATCCATTTTAATTTATTTACTGATGATAATCTAGTACAACAGTCCAATTATCATCTGTTAATCATACTTAGGAAAGTATCTTTCTCTGAAAATGACCTTACGAGTGGATAAAAAAAGCGGACGGTAATTAGGCTTGATTCACGTGATGAGTGGCTACACTATATTGTCTATAATTTACATAGACATTTTGTCAGTTAGGTGTCTTAACAATGGATAACTCGTGATCTCATTGGCTAAATCTAATTCACTCAATACCTCGCTAAGAAACTTATTAGTTGGATTTTACCTTTCATTCATTGACGTATTTATCTACCAAATTGTATAGTATTCATTATTGGGACTCATGATGTCTTTTATAGCTTAGAACGTTGTTTATTTAAATTCAGAAGTCCCGTTAGAGTTTAAAGAAATATTACCAGTCTCTAACTGCAAATAAAAAGAAATGAGCTGTTTTTGCAGTCAACTTCCTGCAAATCACTACAAAACTATATCTAGGTGCGTGGACATTATCTCACGTGCAATAAATTGTTTTTTTCTCAACTTTCCACACATTTCGGCCCATTTTGTTTTTGGTTTATGCTTCTAACCTCGTTTATTGCTATCTCAGAAATCTTGTCTTTATTCTGGTGGCCACAATGTTTCGTACGTAGCATACATGGAACTAAGTAGTTCATATATTTTGGACGCAAATACGCACTCAAATAATTGCCACATGGAACTGTTTTTAAGTATAATTTATTTTCTTATGTACGGACAGAGAAAACATTCCAAAGAATCCATTCTTACTGAAATATTCAGGAGACTTCCTCAGGACTCTGGGATCCGAGATATAGATGACCTGTTGGTAACAGAATCTAGATTCTCTTCAAACAGTACTCTCAAATCTCCCAGATTTTACTTTTATACACGCTCAGGGAATACTTTTACCTACAGCGAACCGGTAAGTATAAATATTTATCATGATATTTCAGTGCTTACCCAGAAACTGAGAATTGTCCACGTAATATGCACTCGTCAATGATCTTTTATAAAACGTTATTTGAGATTCTAAAGTTTACTAGGGCTATCTGAAATATATTGAATATAAAGCAAGCTATGAAGCATTACATATGAGATCCTTCCCATTGATTAAGTAAATTTTCAGTTTTATTAAACAAAATCCTGAATTATCAGACAGAACTTTAATAATAAATTCAGTCTTGTTGGATATACTCTACAACTTAAGGACATATATCTATAACTCAATGAGATATCTATATAAGGATAGATTATCCATAAAATTTACAACAAACGCTATAAGAGCTCAGGGGAAATCTCAAATGTTGATCAGATACTGATTGGTTGCTCTAAGATACAAGCTATTCATAAGAGTTGAGAATCGAATGCTTCATAATACACTGCGTTTATTTTGGAATTTTAGTTACGTGTTATACGAGCATATCGTCTTTATTGGCGCAGGACTAATTCTCCTTTAAAATCTGCGATATACTGCCCTGTTACATGCTTAACGGAAGCATTTAGTCAATGGCATCAAGAGATGATTGAAGATAGACATGGCACAGAAAGTGATTAGTCTATTAATAGCAAATAGATACTACGACAGTGACAGAACAACAAAACCACATTGTTTTACACACTTATTCACTATAATTCATTTATTTTGATTGTTGCCAAAATTATGGTTACAATAGTTATTATTCATATTACGTTGCTTCACAAAATGTTAAGTTTGTAAATAGTTGAACTGAACTCCGAAATACACTTTACGAAAAGCCAAACTCTGTTCTTGAAAATACAGCAATAGTTAATGCATTCGATCCTAGTTACTATTCGTGATTAGATTATTCACTGTTTTATTAAAGCCAAATTACTTTTAATTACCATCATGAGTGTTGGCATATAAAATATACTTGATGTAAACTTGTTAGGAACATTAAGTCTAAGGGTGATTCCAGTCTTATGGATCTACCACGTGGCAGATTTAGATGTATCTAAATATACGTTAGTTTCAAATAGACCATTTCAATTTCCCACTAGTTTTAGTCCGACACTGGAATTAAGAAACACCAATTTCCGTCAATCTATTGATTTGACTTGATACTCCTTTATTCAGATGATTGAATTAGTTTGTCACTAATATCTTATCTGATAAGCTGTAGAACTGTCAATCCCGGTATATTTTGTAAAGTGGATCTTCGTCATTCAAGTGGTGCTTTTAGTTAAAATCAGTCAAGCTTCGACTTTATCCACATCATCATATCGAATTACAACATAATCCCCAGACCAAAGGTTTATTTCCAATGATTTAATATATAAGCTGACTTGTTCAAACCTTCCACATTTAGACACGTCAAGAGCCGATATGGACTTACTGTCAAAGCTCAGGTTTAACAAGCGTTTTTCTGTAGATTCCTTAGTTGAGTATGTCCACCAAAGAATCCCTCAGTTGTCTTGATAGTTAAGTGAATTGGTTAACGCTTAATAGACGTATTAATTTAACAAAAATAATAGGAGTGATGACAGAGAAGGACGTAAAAATAACCTATGACTACTTTATTTGGTAAGTAAAAGCAGTGAGATCGCAAAAGAGGAAAACTTAAATATAGTTTAGTGACGTAGTAAAAACACATTAATGTTCATTTTCGCTTAAGCTGAGGAGCAAAAGTGATCACTGCACCATTACGAATTTGATAATATGATAACTTATTAGTTAATACATCTAGTCTAGCACTGATAGATGGAAGACCTTCTGATGAACACAAACTATGTGGGTTCACTAGAGCTAGACATTTCGTTTTCCACAAATTACGCCAGCTAATCGACTTCGAAGGAATATTGCTGGACGGAATACAGTCGGCGGAATCTTCTTTACGGTTATCTTTTGGTAAATTTGATGCACTATGGAGATGGTTCATGTACGAAGTAACTGCATCTTGTACTGCCCATCGCAATTCCAAAACACGAGCATCAACAGGAACTACCAGAGGTAGTCTTACACCATCTCCTCTCAACAACGTTAGACGCATAGCCTGCGGAAACAAATAACAGAAATAAATGCACTTGAATCAACGTGAGTGTATTTGGATAATTCTTTATGAAGGTTATTAGGAAAGAGTGGTTTGTGCTTCCTAGTAGACACTTCTGTCAACACATTCTGAGCATAATTTGTAATAAAAAATTAAGGAATTTTCGCTCTTAGAATCATAGGATTACTGAACTATGTGGAGAACTAAGTATTAGTTTCTGACATTCCATAAATTAACTTGAGCAACTCCAGCCAATCATATATATACCGCTGTCAACACAACGTAGGCTTACTCATACTCAAACATAGCATGTAGGCGTACTTGCTAACGAAAAATAATTTTTGTTAGACTACTGTGATTTTGGAATGTTTTTTTCTTCCTGCATAGAATAACTATTTTAATAAGACCCAGCAATACGCATCAAAACCACTTTGCGAGAATCATTATGCTATTCTAAATGATCGAGATAGAAAGTAAATAAAGTGGAAGAATGTTTCATCTCGATTAGCTTCTCACCAGTATATGTTGTGTATAATAGTAATATAATACCAAACAAGCGGTAGCATAGTATAATAACACTAAAACTCTAGAGGTGATTATAAAAATTTCGGGTTAGTAAGCGACTCAAAAAAGCAGAATAAGCCAGTTGCAAAAATCGAAGTGATTTCTTGTAGATGAACCGAAACATATAGTAAAGAGGTTGGGAGACTGATAATAGGATTAGTAAAGAGCTTCGCCGCCACAAATCGAATTTTATCGATGATAATAGCTGTCCACGACAGGAAGAATGTCGTACTTGTACAGTTTTGACAATCGCAGTATTATAATTCCTTGCTGATAGACTTTAAACGCAAATAAATAATATGGAGCTTACCCAGATAACCACCATCCCCAAACATACACATATAGTGAGCCATTCATTATGTATTTAAACCATTGGAAATCACTGATGGATCCTCGTTCAGAATCACTTTTCCTTGTCGTCTCAAATCCCACAAATAGACTAACAGAATATGTAGATCAAGCTTAACGAAAATACTGAAATACATATTAATGTTTGAGGCTGTTATTTTGTGGTAAAACGGGTATGCTACAAAAACAGGACTTACTCGCCCAAAGTGAATTTCTATAGCATTCATCACTTCTCTGTTTATTGGCAGGTTTACGAATTCACTTTCGTGATCGGACTTCGGAATAAGGTCATTAAGGAATCGGTCGTTAGTAATGATTGTTGTAAGGTTTTTATCCACTGACTCTAAAACGGTCTGATATTCCTTGATAGTTGCAGAAAATTCCTCCTCCATGAACTTCAATTTCGATCTGGATGCTAAGATCTGCGTTCAAATGCGCTGAAACCCATTATCGAAATGAGTTGGCAACCATGTCCAGTGAGATAAGGCAATTATGTATAGAAAATACAGAAAAAGACAGTCACCTTACGCAATATAGCAATGGTTTTCCTGCGAAACGATTGGGAAGCATCTAACTACATTGTTAGATATTTACTGGGAATATGAAGTCAGCAGAGTATTAAGAAACTAGTTGTAAAATTCTAAAAAATAAAAGGTAACCAGCCACAAAATAATAACATTGCAATTTTTCTTTTTATTCCCCCCAAGTTAGCTTTAAGATGAAATACAATGAGAACAGGCGTGAATATAACTATGAGTTATGATTCGTAGACATTTTGGACGCTATAAGAAAGTCATAAGTAGCACAAAATGACTCGAAATCTCCGTTGCAAAATGCTATAACATAGAAAGGTATTTTTAGACTTTCTATAGCACAAACTAAAATCCAAAGGACGATGACCTTAGACAGCGGGAAAAAAGCTTTAATTACACCAACTTACTTAGCTATAATACACAGGCCCGTAGAACAATTGGTGAATCGAAGTAAGGTGACTTATAGAGGATTTGTTGGACAGGACTATTTTCTGGGATTGTCTGTTTAATGGTGCGCCTGAGAAGTTTATTACCGTCTAGATAACCTTACATACAAACATTTCAGGGAGAGTGCGGGCACACAAACACCTCTCTATTGCGACACTAAATCAGCGGAATCGGACAAGGTCCCCCAATCTCTCCACTCTTCTTTCGATTCTCAGACTGAATTTCGTTGCTGTCTTCTCAAACGTGCCAGAAGTATTTTTGCTAGGCAAGACTTAAAGGCCTATAATTGGGAACTTCTGCGTTTTACCGTAATGGGTAGTGACGGGTCCTTGGGGTTTCATCCCCATGAACGAGTTGACTTTCGATATCCAACCTTTTTACCCCTTACTATTATTTCCCACCCTGGAAAGCTTAGTTTTCCTGATATACGGAACAAAAAACAGGACAGGTTTTTACAGAAGCTCACCGGCCTATAAACCTATAATTATTGTTACAGCTGATCTTGCTATTTACAACGCGAGGCAAGAGTTGGAAAACATTTTTGAGAGTGATGACGCAATTTTAGTGGGCATACGACTATGTTAAGTTTAATTGTATCTTTACATCGGTTATTCAAAACACTTGAGTTGGATTAACAAAAGGATATCCAGCGAGACTCCAATTTATGGACGGTCTTTGAACGAATCTTAAGTGAACTTGAGAAATATTAGCCGATCAGCAAGCAGTCACTACAGAGTAAAAATATTATACAAAACCAAGGAAGTAAAGTGGATGCACTTCTTATACGTGGTTTAAAAAATTGTCGAAGTTAGTAAGAAGTTCAGAGGTTCTAAAATCGTAATGCATACAGTAGAGGAAATCATCCATACGGCTACAAATAGTCGGCCTCTAGAGTCATGACAAAGTCTCAAATACTCTCTCAGCCTCGACCACATAGCTTTAGTATCGCTTATGTACACTACTGTTGTTTAGTGGACGAAATGCTACTTGTGGATAACGATACGATGCAAACAACCAAGCCTATGTGTGAGTCTGTACGCTCTCCAAACATCCGTATATACTGTAGTACCTGGCTGCAGCCAGTGTTGCGGGTGCTCTTATTGTCCAGTTCGCAATAATTGTCGTAATTTGCCTTAGTTAGGAATTATATATGGGGTTTTCATTACAGACTGACATCAGCTATAATGCCAGAAATTTATTTAGCCAAATGAATGAAAGGCTTTCGCGTTAAAATCCGAGATGTATTAACTTATACCTGATTGATTAGTCCACAAATTATAGTCTTGCCATCTTATTTGTTATAGCTGCTCAATTATCACGTTTTGTACAAAATTAACAGCATAATCTAGTTATTTGATAAAAAAATACATTACGAAATGACAAATTCTATGACTACATGAACGCACAGATGACCGTTATTACACTGGGCGATCATTAGGCTTATATGGATACGTTGCGGATAAATTCACCCATAATAAGTTAGCGTTAAGCACTGAAGTTGGCGCCGTAACCTTGAAATCTCAAAGACGCTTCTGATTGGCTCGTCCATAAATTATAGTATCGCCCAGATGCTATGTTTATCAACATCTATGGTAATATATGAACTACCTGCTTGAATCCAATGTTCCAGATAAAGTCTCACGTAGATTGGGTACAGAACATGGAACTTATACTCCTCAAACCATTTGAAAGCCCAGAAGAATTATGTAGTGCCAGTAAAATGTGACAACTCTTCGGTAGTATCGTCCACTGGTGGAGGTTACTGAGCACTCGAAGGTCAAAAAGTCGTAAAACGATTAGTGGGTCAGCTCGACAATTCTTACGGTTTTTGCAAAAGCGGTCAAACCAAGATAATTACAAATTTGATTTGAGTTCAGCTTTACTAAGTGTGATAGCCTCATCCTTCAAGTAGCTAAAGTGACGACATCGTTATGATACATGTTATAGGACGAATCTCCAATGATATTATGTTTTCGCGACAATATACCAGTTAATATAATTTTGAGACCTGCCGGAAAGGAGTACACATTTGCATCGTTACTTGTTTCGAAACTTTGGTAGCCTTGACAGTAATACAGTTTTCATGACGGTATATGTTTTATTCGTTATTTCACATAAAACTAAATCATGACTCTGCATATAGTGTATGTCTAGGTGGAAATCAATGCTTACCTGTGATGCAGTTTTCGAAAAACTGTTCTAGCAGTACATGAATAATCAGTTTTCAGGTACTACGCAATACCATGTACGATGAAGTAAAAAGAACTATTCACTTAGCTTCGGAATAAAGTAGCTTCGTCAATTTACTTAGAACTAACTCCAATTTTTGATCGTGCACAACGTAGAAATAAAAAACAGTGCAAAAAATTGCCGTGTTGCCACTGCGTCGTTGCCTAAAATGTTACTGAGCCCCAGCCAAATCAGACGGTTATCGGGCCACCGAATGTCTAACAGTTTACTGACCCTCACTAAGGTCAATGTGCTGTGACTGCCTTGATAGATTCAATGTTGCTACAGAAACACGTTATCAAGAATAAGTACAAGAAATGGAATGCGACTATTACTCTATGGGCCAGTCGGCAACAATCCAGTGGCATCGTCCGTCAACGGAATTCGCTGAGCACTTGAAAATCAAACTATCGTCTATAGTCTTTTGTAGAGAGGATAGGAGGTTAGACGACTCACACAAATCTTTGCGATTTGTTATACTGTGAAGACCCAATACCGCTTTCAAAGATTCAACAAAAGATGCTGGTATGACGTGTTCTGGTGGAAAAATCCCATTAATTGACTACTCGGTGCGAGAAACGGAAATCGGAGCATAAATTATTTGATCGCAGTCATCGAGTTTTTTAGAATTTCCTCTTGAATGATCAATCCTAAACAGAAGGAAGCCATAAAACATTGATACCATGATCATCATTCTGTATTCGGTAATCGAGTATAAAGTCACTCCGTACATTGCCGTAAGACAACGGATATAAGTTAAGGCCTCTCAGTATGACATCATAAAATAGGCCAGAGGTAAGGATCACCGTTTTGCCCCCTGCCATTGAACTAGTTCCAGCATTCCCACTTCATACTTGAAACAAGGACTTTCTGCTTGAGTCCACTGTCACAAATTCGGCCCCATAGAGGTTGGATACGGTACCCTAAAAATTACTTCTTTCAAGTAAACGAACTATGTAATAATAGATTGTGAGACTCTAAAGCCCTTGACAGTGACAGATAGACAGTCAATATTAATTCTAGGGTTATCGGCGTGCAGTAAGTGTGGGCACGGTCAGGAAGTTAAGCCATGGGTTTTCGCGAACATGTTACATATTGTTGAGGATTTTGGGATGTCGTTATTTATTAGCTATTAGCAGAATTTTTTCCGTCACTCGTCAATCTTTGTAATCTTTGTTCTTGTTACATAGCTTTTATTCAACTTTATTAGTAGTTTGACATACTTTTCAGTTATAACCTGGGTAAATGTTTAGTCAGCCTAATGTGGTTATCTGTAAGAATGGAAATTCAGGCAAGTGAAATTCACCATTTAACAAGCCGAACGTAGATCGCATTGAGAGTTTTATGCAAAAGCGAGCTCTAAAACCTGTTACATTTTATTCACCTCCCTAATTATGATGGTGATGAACAAGGATGTTGGCAGTTGTTTATAAAGTATGGGTTGAAGCAATAAAGCATTAAGCTATTCATGAATGTTATATAACTTGTTAATATACAGCCATAGACAGTCCTATCCATTATAAGTACGATTGCATTTGACTGAACTGACAAATTATTATGTAACGTATCTGAGAAATAGAAATTTTAATGAGTAACAGTTGATGTTGATAGCCTCTCTCTCCGCTTCATGAACAAATACAAGAACTGCTTATAACATTACTGTAAATGCCAGGTAAAGTAGTTACATATTCCTTATAAGCAAACAGATACGTGTATGTTTTGAGCATGGTAACTAAACAATTTCACAGTTATTACTACTTTATGATGCCTCGTTCATAGGGTTAACGAATTGATTATTGTAGACAGAATCCACAATCACTGACCAAATTATAGGCAACGTTCAAACGCGTGTTGACGAGTAGTATCAGAATGGTACTTACCAGTTTCTTTGTTGATAACAAACGACTAGTTGAAATCCTAGGATGGTTGGAAAATTAAAAGCACAGTTTCAAAGTAAGACACTTATAGGTATATTCTATTAGCTGCTGTTCAATTTACTTATTGAATTTGATGATGACCACGAAGTATAACGATTTGTTTCACGATTGATTTGCTGTTTTTCAGAATTGCATTCAACTGGAAAAGTCCACATACGTTTTGTGATATGTAATTTATGGCTTCTGTTAACCGATTGAAATGCTCAAATCTTTCTAATAATTAGGTCTATTCAGGGGAACAAATGAGTGAATTTCTGAATGTGGAAGATTATGTGGAGAAACAATTTATAAGTTGACGAAACCGTGCTTTATAGTGACTACTGTCACGTCTACTTATCTAATGGAATATTTAAATATAAACGCAACAAACATACTTAGTCTTTTGCATTTTAAATCTTCTTATCCAATCTCACTATCCAGAGGATGAATAAGTAAACTTAGAGTAAATTTTGGGGTTGCCCCAACAACCTCGACAAGAATGCTTCTTGTGCAAACCCTGCGCTGATAACGCTGAAGAGCACGTTTGGCCAGTCTTATAGTAAAACTTTCAACATAATTTTAAACTGTTCTATTCGACCCCTATTAAGTGTACGGAATGCACTTTTTTTCACTCACTCCGCTATGATAAGAACACACAAGTACGTATCCCGAAGTGAACCACGAAAACAGCTCAAGAAGTAAGGGCATCTCAGAAATAACCTTTTAATAACATAGCGTCCAAACACTTTCAGGCACCTTCTGATATACTCAACTAAACTAATTCCCCACACAAATCTCAGGGGTGATCCCTGGAAATGTAGGGACGCAAAACTTCAGAATGAACTGTAGACACGCCCTCAACTATTTAAGAGTAGTCAAATTCTGGGATTCTCTGCCTTCTGAGTTGTTTCAAACGACTTTCCGCTAATCATTTGAGGAAAAACGCAACATGTTCTCTGTGACTAAGCAAATAATTCAAAACATCTTACTCGTTTTCTGCCAAATTTACCTAAGTAGATAAATAGAGACATCACTGATCCACTGCTATTAGATATGGAAGGTTGATAAATGAAATCTTCATTTCTGTTCACAATCATCTGGAAAACTTATGCTCTCATTTTCAGTGTAAGAACTAACGCGTTTTATAGAAGTTGTGTTGTGTCGGACAACGTTTATTCGAATTTCGTAACAATATTTATACATTGAAATAAAAAGGACCTTTGATTTAAAGTTATTGATTATTTGGATCGATACATTTATTTAGGAAGTAACAGTTAGCTGAGAGCTAATTGAGCTAAAAACTTATGTACATCTCATCAGGGCCAAATTTCCGGATTTTGGGAAAAACCCTGGGCAGTGGGAATAACGGTGCTTCTCTTAATGTCATTGGAAATTATGGAGGAAAACCTTAAAGCCAGTGTGATGAAATTGTAGGAGAAAGAACTTACAATGCACGTTATCGTTCAGACATTTTAGACGTAATTATAATGAATGATATTGTTTTTTGTATGACAGTCAAGATCACCACACATTCCATTACCAATGTTTAGGTCTTATTTTAATGTCATATAAACACAAGACGAAGAAGAGTTAGTTCCACCCCAATTTTCCAAAAGTCTTACGCTAATGATGCCACAGGTATTTGGAGTTTGACAACGCTTTAACCAGTAACACCTAATCTGAATCATACCCACAAAGTGAAATAAAAAACAGAAGCGAAAAAGTTTGAAGATATATTTGATAGGCCATCAATATATCGTGGATCGACTGATCTAATCTGGCTAGTGATTGCAGTAGATGTTGAGCACGGCGTTCCCACCCGTGATTTTGTGCGGATGCATGACCGAGTGTCTTCAGCTAGGTGAGTTTATTAAAATTAGTGTGATCATATTGTATTTCAACTTATTGGAATTATAGCACGAACTAAGAGTCCCAGAAATAACGCAGGCACAACCGAATGTACTGTATTTGGAATTCGAAATCGTGTAATCAACAAGTACAAATGTATCATTAGTCAATTCAAACACCACATCCGCCACAGCTTAAATAGAAGTATAAGTGTTTGCAATGGGTTGTATGTTTTCTTGTTAAGTTCATCCTGAGTCTGTCCGACATTGTACTGGATGAAAACTTTGTAGTATCTAGAATGTGCTCATTAGTATGGGAATTAACAAACGAAATCGGAACAGACTCACCTGGAATTGTATACAATCAACATATCGGTTTTGTACTGAAATGAATCATATCTCGAATTGGAACCATAGATTTTTCAACGCTATCCCCCCCCCCACGAAATAATGTTGGGTCTTTATATTCCCAAGTTATGAATAATGTAGCTTCATTTAAAACATATTTCTCACATTGATTAGAGTAAACATTAGAAGTGTTTTTGTGATAAGGATGAACAACAGTTGATATGAAATCATCAGAAATGTAATCAAAATCGAGCTCATTTAGTATTCGTGCTTTGCATTGAACAAGTTTTTCACAAGGAGCAAATGCATTATGAGGATAGGTAATACATATGACATCAGGATTTGATTCTACTGAAATATTTTCATGAAATTGACTAAGAATGTCATTGCAGAGCAATGGATCATTAGAAAAATTAGCATCAATCATGACTGCCTCAGGTTTTTGATAATGAATAGGTTCATTTAACATATTTTCCTCAGATTTGTAAGAAATTTCATCGGAAATATGTGAATCATTAGGAAAAGTCATACCTGGTACAATAGCATGAGAATTCTGATAAATCGGTTGATTAGGAACTGTTGTCTCACAAGGATTCTGGATTTCATTTAACTCTGAACTGCTTTTTGACTCTTCACTGTCTATTGCAATAGTTGATAAAGATAAATCATCATTATAAATACTCGACTCAGTAGAATCAGAATTACAAGACTTAATATTAGTTGCAATAACATGAACATTAGTATTGCAGACTGACTGAATATATCCAATATCATCACATTTAAAGCATTTAGAATTACGAAATTTACATGAATTAAAAGCATGGAACTTGCCACAGGACAAACACTGACCAAACTTGTGCCCATGTTCTTGAAACGCACTGCAACTCCGCAATGAATTATTTGCATAACCTTGAATATGCACTGGATTAGGATAACGTGATGTAGTAGAACTTTTAATGTCCTGATGAATCATTTTAGGAAATTCCCCTTCTTTACTGCAATCAAAATTTGCATACCTGACATGGTCTAGTAGTAATGCCTTGAGAGTTGTATAGGGAAGCGAAATGGGTTTTTCCGGCATAGCCAGCGTTCTTAATAAACTGTTTGCTTCTTTACCGATGAATGTGAGGAAATATGCCACAATATTAATATCCTCATCATCTTCCTTGGTCATGACCCAGATTTCGAACCTTTCGAAATAATCCTCAAATGCTTCCGAAGTTGAATGAATGTCCAACTTTTCCATTGCAGGTTCCATCACGACGCCGGTATAATGATTCTACTTATTGGAATTATAGCACGAACTAAGAGTCCCAGAAATAACGCAATTGAATTAAGAAGACACAGGCACAACCGAATGTACTGTATTTGGAATTCGAAATCGTGTAATCAACAAGTACAAATGTATCATTAGTCAATTCAAACACCACAGATCAGCATCAAATGTTAAAGACTTACAGTAAGCCTCTGATACGACTTACTGCTATTTGTAATTTAACAGTTATTATCATTTACTTTAAAGCACATGCTGCAAATTAATGCAGCGAAACGAACAAAGGACGCCTGTTTGATTCAAAGTGATTTTCTATGAACAGATGAAATCCCTACGGGCACCGAAATAGATCGAAAAACAAAATGTCGGCGAATACAATCCAATGCATTACCGAGCGCCATCAGCTAGGTGAGTCCATTAAAACGAATATGGTCAGTATCCAATGTCGAAGACTTACGGATCTATTGATTTTGAGGATTTATTTACCGCTACAACGCCAAGCACGTGAGTTGCTGTTACAAACTGCTAATACTCCCATGGTCTAGCCTAACTACAGCCAGCTGTTTCTTTTAGACTATTAATGTTGAAGGTAATTAAATAGATGAGAAACATGTGGCAACCAACAGAGTGTCAAACATGAAAAGCTGCCATAGTACGTTGTTTTATAGAGGGTTGAAGAAGTTGAGAGATGAGTTTTAGAAATAGCACAACTTTACGGTCACTGATAGACAAATATACAACACTATCCACGCGAAAAATGTAGTTAACGTTGTAGCAACGCAGATGGGATTGCCTCGTATAATTCAGGTTATTGTGCATCTACGGTAGCCATATTTATTGTCGTGTTTTCCCAATAAACTATGCTAAGAAAGCATGAGTACAGAAATTCGGCCACTAGCGATCTGTCAATGAAAGAAACGATATGTAGAATTGTCATCAGTAATATGAAGGGAGGTGGAATCACTGTTAGGAAGGCGACTGAAACCATGGGCCTTTTTAATAACGGTTATCCCTATGTAAACATCAGCATATTTATTTTCAACACTGCGTGTACTTGGCGTGCAAACAACGAACTCTAAAACTCTATAATCTATGTTTCTCTTTCCATGACATCATAGCAACATGAAAATTAACAAAATACGGTCATTTCTCTACAGCAGTTGTGTCATCTACTGATAGTGACTTATCAACTGAATATACGTCAGTGAACTCAATGATACTATGCCTGCGAGGTTAGTCTTAGAAGAAATGTAATTTACGATTTCCCTTGTAAGTTCAGAATATGACATGGGTCCATCATAGTAGTTTTAGTGGCGAATTGCTGTCTCCATCCCCCTAAGTTCCGGTCAGACACCCGTTGTCCTTCGGTAAATCACAACAAATCGCCAGCAGAAACTCGCCAATGTCGGAGCTATTTAATGGTAAGTTCAATAAACGCAGACACTTTCCTGTAATTGTTCACCACAGATTTTTCGAGCTTACTTCCTGTATTCCTTTTCACGATCGAATCTCTTTCAGATTTAATGTTTTTTTTAATGAGCACACATCAAACGGCTCATATATAGTCTTCTCTATTTTGTTACTACTCACCATCTGTATTACTATTGGCACATGGTCTTTCCTCAACGCCAACTTAGCAGTATTCTTTTTTTTGGCTGTTATTGAAAAGCATACCTTGCTTCCTCCGCATCTTCTGATCTTCAGTAACTCCTCGACAGGACTGTCAACTGACCTGTGGACCACTATGTATCATAAAATGGCATACCGTTGTGCGCTCTAACGTCACATCGCTTTGATGATCTGCATTAAATGGACCTATGTTCTTGTCTAATGGAAAAGAGGCGAATACCCCCGGCTTTCCCTTGCGGCCATCGGTCAGCAACAAAAAATTCATTGTTAAATAGCACGATAATTAAAGCACATATTGTACCCGCGTTTTACTACTGAACTACTCAGACTGAAAATGACGACTCACCTTCACGTATGCCTCCTTCTAGGAAGGGTTGCCGACCCTCCTAACCCATTACTTTCGACTCTGGCAAAGGGCTCTATAGACTTAGTGATTTCGACAAACGCGGTACCTCTACCATTTTCCATCACTTTATCGACTAAGTCTACTCAATGTACTTGGAGTAACTGGAGCAACAAACTTCCGACTCCTTTAAAAACCATTGATGCGTTTTATTCGGCAGTATAGTTTGTTCGTTCCAGAATCAATTTCCCACACAGCCAGTTTCGGTAACTTTTCAGGAACATTATAACCAATAAACAAGCTTTCCATGTCTACCCAAGCAATTACATGAAGCTGTCCAAACGATAGCTTCGAATCTTCTCGTAATTTGTTATAACCAGCAAAAGGGTCCATCATCACACATCCCTTGATAGATACCTTCAGCTTGTTACTGCAGGTACGTTTCGAACTGCCGTACTAATTTCCATTACTCGGTTGGCTGTCTACCGAAGTAAATCTTTTCATACCTAAGGGAGCTCTAAGCCTAACACAATGGGGGAAAACATTGTCTGATCCCCAGAAACAGCATGAGATCACATTAAAGGCGACTTCGCCCAATAACCATATAATTGTATAGTACTGTTAATTTTATGCTGAAGCGGTTTGGAATTATTATTCTTAGGTTTGTGTACTTGGACAGTTCATGAAAAACAAGCCAGCAGTGAATTTTTAGAGAACTGTATGAACGAGGGGTATCCAAATGAGCTGAAATGCTAAACATTATGTAAACCGCTTGAATGCAGTAAGGGAAATATTGAGCCTAGATGCACAAACGAAATGTTGCTTTTTCATTTCATGGCAATTATTGTCATTACTTTCATAAAGCTAAGACAGTATCCTTTTTATCGTGACCGTTCAATTCAGCTTGTAATAGGATTTCTCAGTAAGATGTGAAACCAATTTAAAATTGCAAACACAAATCAAAGTGGTAAATAGCATAGGAAATTAACAGTACCACCAACCAGTGAAATACCGGTAGACCATAAAAAGCCGTAAGAAAGTAAAACCTTTACTGGTCAGGAACACCACAATCCTTTCTCCTACGATATTAGCCTATCTTATGTTTGTGGTATGTTTGAATACTGCCTTAACCTAACCACGCTGCACACCTTGTTGGGATGCACTGCCTCTACTAGTTCCATGTTACAAGTAAATTAAACAGTTAAAGCTCCTATATTGTGGGTTAGACATTCATTTAGTATATCACAAAGTTAACTCATGGCAAAAATTATAAGATTCTGGCCAGATGACATGCGGTTTGGAGATGGTAAGGAAAGATAGCTTATCAAAGAATATGAAAGAGTTTAGGGTTGTGAAATCTATAAGCCTACAAGTGAGAAAGGATAAACATCCGAACGCTAATAAATTTAGGATATTAAAACCCCTTAAAACTAGTAGAAAGACCACACAGCAGTATAGGTTTATGATAATCGGCTATAGTTAGTCAGGGTCCACAGATTTCATGAGTTATTTGGGAATCGAGAAGGAATACGGAACTTCGTGGAAGAAAATGTTGCAACTTTAAACATTAAGGAAACTTCGCATGTGAATGTGAGGATTAGGATGACAAGACGGAACGGACTATATTTAGTGAGAGGAAGATCATGTGTTCTATCATTTGGTTATTCATGTATAAATGGCACTATACTCATGATCGGTTAATACTTTCTTAAGATAAGTTTGGATATTTATTCTATGTTTATATGGTTATTTTACATGTACTAGTACTGGCAAGGTTTACATTCGCATTCTACCGTTTTATAATCATACTATTTTCGCTAAAGGGACTCAGTTATTGGACACTATCGTGTATAATTTTTAAGACTACAAAAAGTAATTATATATATACTTGAAAAGTGGATAGGTCTTGACAACAAGAACAATAAACTATGAATGCCCTATATATATGTAATTTAATGAACTATATGTCTTATGTGATAAGTCAAAATTCTAATCGGAAATAACACCATTGGCGCGAATTTCGTAAGGATAATATCTTGGCTATTACACAGCAAATGAAAACCTTTTTTTGATTGTAAAATTCCAGAGTACAACAACAAACAATTTGAGTTTAAATCTTTAGAAGAATAATGATAACGTTCTAACGAATAAATAAAAAATAAAACAATTCCATTTAAAGTAAAATTATGTACAGGAGAATTATAAAGTTATCCGTTTGATACAAGTGAAATAAACGTGGATATTATTTGTGTGAATCAACAGAAAAATCTTCACATTCACTATCACTGAAATCCTCTATAGGTGTTTCCAGTGATGGCATTAGATCGATTATCTGAATTTTAAAGAATAATAAAATAGATTACCGTTAAGAACTGAATTTCAGGTAAATGGGCTTAGAAAAAGGTGATTTTATCTGTGAATTACTAATATTAGTTCGAGAAATAACAATTGATTTGTGAGCACCTAACCGGGCTGATCTAATTTCAATACATTCACGTATGGTCTTATTTCTTACTCGAGTGCTGATCCAGTGGTGATCATTAGAGTAGTAGTTGACTAGTGTTATTTAGCACATTATCTTAAGTAGATCACTGTTTACCTCATTTTGAAATATACTGAAATAACAATAAAACTATTTAAAAGAAACCGTTGGAACTTTTGAATATAAAATATAAACATGAAGAAGCTTTTCAGCTCTCAGATAAATCATTTCTCCATAGTCTACTCTACAGATACTATCTGTAAATATTGAAAGATTTCTGCAAAACTATCATAATATCTGAATTAACCTTATTTTGAAAATTTATTTCGAAGTGAGATTGAGACCTGGCTAGTATTCTACCTAACATTATGACAGTATTCAACCGTGTCCGTGGGTCGAAGTGCTCATTTAATAACGAAGTTACTATTAGTGTATTTAGAAAGACAGAGATAAAAGGAAAAGAGCTCACTCAGTGAACATTATAGAGTTATAAATTACCTTAAATGAAAGATTCATTTTCCCCTAATATCTGCATGTTATGTAGTGTTTAAACGACTTTCATTAATGTAATTCAGTGTACTTTTAAATGAAAACTCATCAGTTGTCCATGTAGTAAAACCCAAGTTGATTCCTAAGGCAGTATTCAGCTTTTGTTGAATGAATTATTCGAATTAACAAAATCACCACCCTACCTTAGTGAGTTCGGCTACAAGTAAATAACCGTCAAATAAAATTACGTCACTCAGCTACGGGCAATACGCCTTTCAACGAAGTCTTTTATTGATCGAAAGGTGAAAAAACGTATGACATATCTAGACAACAAAAAATAATTATTCATAGATAATGTTGCTTAATATACTGTAAATTATTACACAATAATTACAGATTGGATTTCATTTGGTGCATTAGTACAGCTGATAAATTTTCTGGAACCAGTTCTGACTTATCTAAACTTAGTTATTTTAATTTTCACAAGTTGAAATCATGAGCCAATTGAAGCTAAACCACCATGGAAAACCTGGATCATTTAGAAGCTTTACCATGAATAATTTTCAAAAAGTAGTGATAAAACTATCATTCATTCTCATATTTCCTCAAAAGGAAGTGAATTAACTGATGAAATTCCCAAAATAAAGTAAAGAAAAATAACTACATCTCAGTTTGTCAAAGTATACTAACAAACCTGTTCAGGTCTAAGCCATGATATAAACTGAAGAAGAAGCCAGTGTAAAATAGCAGAAAAACATGTTATTTTCCCAGTAAGTGGACCAAGTTGGTACAATCTGAACATAACAAATAGTAAATACATATATGCACAATTTTAAAGCATCTTAAATTTGATTCCAACAATTTAGATAACATAGTACCAAAATTAGTTCAAAGCTTGGTAAATCCTGAAAAGTAATTGAGTATACATTTTTACTATCTTGAAATGTGCCTATTTGTACTTTTTAATAGCTGGACTGGCTAAATCTTCTTTCCATTGCTGATTTATAAAGAGAATTCAAGTCAGTGTGTTTGCATGATAAAACTGTCTTTGTTTTTTTTGTTAATACGCACAGGAATAACTGAATGCTCCAGAACGAAATAATAACACTTGTGACTAAGTTGGTACAAATACAACAATCTGATATCTTTAGTCTTATCTTTTAATAGTCGTCCATTTAGCTTCTGAAGATTAACGTCATTTGAGTGGAAGAAGTCAAAGTTTACTTGAACTATTTAATTTCCATACAGTGATTAATTTTCAGGCTTTATAACACTAATTGGTTAAGAAACTACGGTACAATAAAATGATTGTCAAAACAAACTACAACTTACTGAGAAACAGAAAGAAACTATACTACTTTCTTTTGGACATACTATCCATGCTACTAATTAAACATCCTTATTCATATTATTCACGCCAGATGAAACGAAGTTATTAATAAATATATGTTGGGAAATGTAGTCTGATAATGAGATCTAGATTAAAAATATCTTACGGATGAAAATGCCTTTATTGAGAGCTATATTTACTTTTGTTCTGAAAGCTGAAGATTACAATCAATTAACTTATATCACAGAAACATTTGGAAATTCAGTTTATATTCTTACCTTGAGATTCTGTTGTGTAGTGAAACAGGTGGTTTAGACATAGCAGCAGAATAGACTTTTTCCGTACGTTTAGCAACTAGAGGCCAACAATATATACTACGAATCCATTTATGCATATGCCAACAATGATCATTAAGTGAATTACAATTACATTCCGTACCATCAAAGTGTGTAGATGGATCGGCGACCAATGAAAATCGACAAAGAGGATTCGGAGGTGATGTACATATGTTCAGCTTTTGTAAAATGAGTAGGTAAATAACATTTTTTAAAAGGACTGATGTATATGTATACGAATATAGCACTTAGTTTTTATTGATGTTGATTAAGAGCTAACAGTGGAATCTAGGATGCGCATTTATCTCAGTTGAGTCTTGCGGTTGGATGTAATACCTGAATTTCACCAATGAATTCCAAAATGAAACTTGAACCCAGTATTTTTCGTCTTACATGTCAGTCTATTTTCCACTGAGTTAGTGAATCCAGATAATTTTAAAAGGGAAATAGGAAACCTTGCAAGTAACCCTAAGCCGTTACTGTGTATACACAACAGAACCCTGAAGAGCCAAGTTTTGATGTGATATTTCGGCAACAAAGATCATTCCGGTTCACCGAATCCCAGCTTCAGGATTTCTCGTTTTAGTATACTTAGGACCAATAAAGAACTTTTCAGTACTTTAAAGGAGCCAAGGTTATTTTATTTACAGTATTGAACAACTTTTTTTTAAAAAACTCCCCTGTTTACCACTAATTTTCCTCACCGGTTTCATTTTAAAATTTTAGTTAGGTTCGTCGGATAAAACAAGCCAGAGTATGAATTTTAAAAAGCGAATGAATACATAAAATATTTTGTATCAAGAGTGGTTATCTTTTCACTGGTAAATTAAACAGTTCTGTTTTAACATGATTAACAGAAATATTCAAAAAAGAAAAATTGACAATCAGAAACATCAACTATGGATAATAAAATGGTGAATATACAGTTGTAAGTGTTCAGGAAGAACTAAAATACAACTTTTGTATGATAACTATCAGGTAGATAGGAAATAGGATGTAACCTATAGTTTAGTGACTGATAGTCGTAAAACTAATCAGCGCGTTCACTTAAATCATATGCCCAGAAGAAATCAGTTACTTTCAAGTATATATATAGTCGTCTCCCAATGAAGGTTAAAAACCTTAAACAGGTCTTAGTATATATATGATGAATAACGAACATGTTTAATGGACAAAATACCCGTTGTATTTATAAGGGAAACAATCAGTTTTCATACATGCATAGAAATTACTTTGTCTGAGGTTAAATTATCCATAGCTTCTTGTTCATGAGTTGTAATTTTCGAATCCTCGCGTTGCCGCCGAACTTGAATAATGGAATCTGCAACAATAGTTGCTAATTCTGAAGCGTTTGCTGGTGCAAGTCTAATAAAATGCTCCGGTAAAACTTCCGGAAGTCCCCCAACAGCTGTACTGATAACCATTAAGCTGAAGAAAAATTTTCAATACAATTACTTAACATACAAATTAGCTGAATAAATTATGGCATATCTTACAAGAAAATCTACAATTAATCAATCGTACACATTTGAGTTCTAAGTTACATGAAAAGTCCAAATTTTAAAATAAATTAAACCGAAAGAGATATTTACCAATGTGACATTGATAAGTGAATAAAACTATACCATTTGGGGGAAGCGGTGATACGGCATCTTCTCGTAATCTCCTCCTCAGCTGGAAGCTTGTCTGTTCTCTCACACAGCAAACCGTTGCTGATGCTATTCAGTCATCGAATATGGAGTGTCTTGCATGCACAATTGTTTACGAGGACCCACACCATTTTGATGATAGTTGTAGTTAATCTCCAAGTTTCAGCTCCGTACACTAAAACTGTTTTGACGTCCGAGTTGAAGATTCTGACTTTGATATTGGTTGACAGTTTTCTTGAGTTTCATATGTTCTTCAACTGTACGAATTCCATCCCTCCTCTGATAATCCTTACATTCACACCTGCATCACATTCGCCTTGTTCACCCATGATGCTTCCCAAATACTTGAAAATGTACACCTCTTCCACAGTCTCTCCATCAAGTGTGATTTGGTTGAGGCTCTCTGTGTTGTATCTGAGGATGTTGCTTTTTCCCTTGTCTATGTTTAGGCCTAGTGATGCAGAGGCTGCTGCTAAACTAGTTACCTTCACCTGCATTTGTTCGTGTGTATGCGATAGAAGGGTTAGGTCATCTGTCAAGTCAAAATTGTTTAGTTACATCCAAGTTGTCCATCGTATTCTGTGATTCCCCTCAGGTGTGGAGGTCTTCATGACCCAGTCAACCACCAGGGGGAACCGAAAAGAAGAGAGTAAGCAGTCTTGTCTGACTTCAGTCCTCACTTAAAATGGTTCTGTCATCTATCCTCCATGCACGACTTTCCACTGTAGTCCGCAATATGAATTCCGTATGATGTTGATGATCTTCTCAGATACAATATAGTGTGAAAGGAGATTCAGTAAAGTTCTCCTATCCACACTGTCAATCGCTTTCTCATAGTCAAGGGATTTGATGTACAGTGATGAGTTCCATTCAATTGATTGTCCATCAATGATCCATAGTTTGGCGATCTGGACTTTGTTCCACCGACCCTTAAAAAATCCGGTCTGTTGATCTGGAAGCTGTGCGTCTACTGAATCTTTCATCCGGCTCAGCAACACTCTGTTTAAAAATTTTCTTGCTACCGATAGTATTGTGATACCTCTGTAGCTCTCACATTTGTTTAGATATCTTTTATGGTATCTTGATGAAATATTCTTCGTTTCGGTCCGTCGGTGGCACTTGTTCTTCTCAAATCTTCCTGAATGAAACGTGAAGCATGTTTGCAATTGCCTCTATGTCTGACTACAGTGCTTCAGCTAATATGTCATCAGGTCCTGTTGCTTTCTCACTTAATTTGTCTGTTGGTCAAGCTGATTTCTTCAATCGTTGGTGGAGTGATAGCTATGGGAAGGCCTGTGTGTGCTGCTTTAGTAGAACAATGAAGACTGTTAAATTATACAGAAAATATATCCATAATTACAAAGGTAAAATCTAATTAAGATAGTTCCTTATTAACAATTATATGCAGTATTAAGGGTTATCGAGTTTCTCTTAAGAATGTCAGATTCAGATATACGTTACGAAAACACAATAAACAGATATTTGGAAACTAACTTCATGATGATATGAATGACGTCATTTAAGATATCGTATAAAAAATTGCAATATAATTAAATTACATACCGAATACAAACTAGCCATTAGTTCAAGGTTCCTACATTTGAGTTTAAGCCACAATTATAGCATAATCGATAAAAGTACTCTCCATTCGATCAAACTGAGTGACGCGTATTAGAATCTGTAGCCTCATGAGTTAAACGTTAACTTCAAATATATCACAAAGATTTTGTTTCACAAAATATGGGGAAAAAACTTTGAATTACAACCATTTATGCTTATAATAATTATCTATGAGCCAAAGGCCTCCAAAAAGCGAAATATAGACCATGGAGAGATAGTTATTCATTGTCTTAATATTGAGCGGATTCCAAATTTTTGTCATAATAACTACAATTAAAACGGTTGTACATAGAATAACGGTGGTAAGTAATAAACTTACAATTATTTCAATTCCTCCTCGACAGTGAACATATTTTTAAACTACTTACCCACACGAGACTGCTTCAAGAATTGCTATACAAAACGCTTCAGTAAGGGAAGTATTTAGAAAAATATCACCTTGTATTAAAAGCTGAAAAGCGAGAAAAATTCAAAAAAGAAGTTCGAATTTAAGACAGTACTGTAATGAGTTTAGTATTTTCTTTGCACAAATACGTATATTTTATTTTATTTATTTTAACACATATATATTGGTACGAGGAGGCACCAAATGCATATGCGCCACAAAAATCTCATTTGATATGTGTGAGGGCTGGGATACTACTGCCCGGGTGCCCAAACCGAAGCATGCATATATATATATATATATATATATATATATATATATATATATATATATATATATATATATATATATATATATATATCACTCTAATCCTTAAGCAAACTCGGTTACCAAATGTGATTACAAGTAAAAAAAATTTGAAACAGGAAAATTTATGGGAATAAATCCACATTTGCGGTGACCCAGAAGTTCGAACACGCCGAAGATACCTAGATGATTTTGTCATTGTCATGACTATCCCTTCTAAATTCTATTAGGGCTGTACACGATACACAAGAATTGAAGGGCACGGAAGAAATAAAATAAAGAGGTGAAAGTCAACTATATTTAGCTAAGTTGTGAATTACATAAGTCGAACTTATTCAAGATGGGGAAAACAGGAAGTAAGATTATTTAGTTGACGTTTCTGGAAGTAGTCACATTTAAAACAAGTCAGACCGACGTAAGTAAATATGGGAGACAAACTACAATACAACATAGATAAACGCCGGTTAAAAGTACTGACTAACTTCAACAAGTGGTTAGACGGCAAAATGTTACAAAGTTTGAGGTTTATCTTAGAAATGAACTAAGTACGTGATCATAAAAGATTTCCAGTTTTCATTAGCTTTAGTTTTCGATCGTCACGATACTGTTAAATATTGAACTGGGCTGCTAATAATAACAGAGATACAGTATTGAAGCTCACCTAAGCAAACAAACAATATCAATTTACAAGCCAAAAATGTCTACAGTTACAATATTTTAGAAAACAAGATACCTTCGATTCATCAAGTGTTCTAGTCAACATTTATCTTTCTAATGTCTTCGGAAATGTTAAAATCATTGGGAATTACAGTGGCTCTTACTACAATAGGCTGGATTGGAATGGTTAAATTTCGAACACAAATCAGAACATATAGTATCATAAACGTAACACACAAAGTTTGGATTTCGCTTGTTTGCAAAATGTGTACTGATAAACAAAACGTTTAAATGGTTTCACAATTGCGAAATCCTCTCTTCTTTTTTCCCGTTATCACAGCAACAACAACGGGTCAACAGTCTTATTTTCTGATTCGCACTAGTTACTAAAAGTGAATATATTCAACTGGGACAAACATTTAATAGAATTGCTTAGTACGATCATTCTTGATGTACGAATACAAAATATTTGTTTTTAACTATATAGGTCTGTCTCTCTAGAATATAAAACTTACATAATTAAATGTGTTGAACCACAAGAACACAAACCACGAAAAACAAACGTTGCTATGTAACAACTTACAGGCCGAACTTCATGAGGTTGTAAACCTCCTAACAATTTTACACGTGAATGTAATTGATATTGTTCGCGTATCTCTTCCAGTTCAAGTCTTTTAGGTCCATCACCACCTAAAATCATAGAATTTAAATAGATTAACGTATAATGTGGCACACATATGATGCGTTGTCTGAGTTGGGTGGTTTAATCGGTACGCTTTAATTGTCTTTCGACCCAACACAATCGGGATAAGCTTTGGTAGAATGATATGATCAGTGTCAACAAGAACCGATCAAATTCAAGTGTTAACTATTAAACAAATATTATTGTGACCCAAGATCTGACTCCGATTTAAACGAACGAATGAATATAAATCTTCCAATGAATTCCGTATATTACACCTGAGCTAACCCCGTTTCAGCGATGGCAGTAATAACAAGCCAAATACGAAGTGAGTAAGATGAATTTATCTCATCCACTTGTTTACTAAGACATGTCAAAACGAGAAGCTGGAAAGCGAAGTGAAACGGAGTAGGTACGATTCAACAAAGCGCGACTCAATATTTATGGTCAGAAAAATAAGCTAAAGATATGATGAATAAAGTAGGCGATATATACACCTACATAAAAGCAATCAGAGTTATAAGCAAATAATTGACAAGGTCAGAAAGTGTGTGGATAATGTCTCGAGAAGAATAAATTATATGGTCTTTGCAAAAGCTAGAATTACCTACGTAGGCATAACACAGAACTAGACGCTCTAATATGGACAGAAATTCAATGAGCTCATTTCTATTTGAATTCTGTGCTAACAATGTTATCAAAATAGAAAGAGAGCTTCATGATTAAACTTCCCTGTTCAGAGAATATGAATCCATCAAAATAATTTCACACCTATGTTAACCCATGTACTGTTTTAAACAAGGCCAATAACTACATACATAAATCTGTGATTTTATCATTTATTAAGGATTGGATCTTCTGAACAAGAAAAGTAAAGAGACTGGCTCCATTTTCATAAACATCATTCGCTCAACACATGGATATATATCGGACCGTAAGTGTGAGGATCTTAGCGCGAAAGAATGAGACTTAAAATATCGGTTTGCTTGGTTTGATACACTATGTGAAATTCAGGTTTAATCATCATTAAAGAAGTGGATATCCATCAAGCGGGTTAAACAGTAAGTCTTGATATCAATGTAAAAGATATTAGGAGACTAAAGACTAGAATTGTGGGTCATATACAGTAATGTTTGAAGCTGTTCAATCACATGATCACTAAGGGTAGATGTACAGAATTATTTTGCATCAACAAATACACATCCAATGCAACTAGTCCTGATTTTATGGCTCCATGACATAAACTGACTGTTTCTATGCTAGTGTCATAAAGTCCCAATATTAGCAAATAGCGACACCTGAGACAGTATGCAGAATGTATCAAAATCGAACGATTTGAAGTTGCTGGAGAAGTTTATCTATATGAAACGATAATCGCCATCTTAAAACATTAGTCGGCAGATGCCAATATTATTCGAATGGTAATCTTAGGAAGGCGAGTAATGATGTAGCGACAGAGATTTCAAAGCACAGGGATCCACAGAATGCCATGTCTGGTTGAAAAATGTCTTGAAGTTGTAAGCCAAATCAGATGCTTCAAAAATCTGACTGCTGATCAAGCTTGTCATGAAATTAATAAAAATAGTTGGGACAGACATACGCAACTTTAGCTATCCAAAAACCAATCTCTTCTGTCACAATACCATTAGTGCAAAAACTGTTAGCGGGACACAGACTGGATTAAAGCATGCTCAATGCACGATTACTTTGGTGCATGTTGATTGGCTAATTCTCACCCGATCAGCACTAGTCGATACTAGGAGAATACTCTAGAAATCTTCTCATGTAAAAACTATAAATATACTAACGTTTTTCTTATTGTGGTTCTTACTTCCATCTAACCTTGTTATTTGGAATACAATCTCTTTCCTGTCTAACCGTGTTCTAGTTTGGGGACTTGTCGAGTGAATCGGTGTCCGAGAATATTAGCAATAGGAATAGCTGGGTTATAACCGTAAGAGAGAAATATTACAAAAACATCAAAGGTTTGTTACTAAGTAACAAAGTAAATTAGTTCCCTTGACCACCTTGCACACGACCATTGAAATATATTAATGAAAAGCTATATAATTATGAACACTGATTTAAACTATCTAAATATAATTTAGGTAGCGTCTATGTAATCGAAAAATAAAAATACCACACTACAGATATTGAGGTCTTTCTACATAAAATATGTCCGTATTACTAACACGTACCACCTTCAGCACTGTTCCTAAAATATCATAAATGGTAGTGTTAGCGAGGAACGGAGAAGCCGGGCAACGCTACCTGACCCTAGTGATGGTTTGGAACAACAAATAATGACAGTTACAAAACGTGATTACACATTATTCAAATTTGCATAGGACCTCAAAGATGGAGACGTACAAGAGGTATGTTTGTCCACATGAAACAATATTTTACAGAAATTAAACTTTATTTTTCGGATGGTTGGCACAAGATAAAAAAAATCTTGTTAGACGCACCTGGTACTTTAATTTCGGTACAGCTACTGACTTTAACAATCATTCCCCTAATATATAATGGTCTTAAACAAACAGATTATTCCCAATATTCAGTTTCAGTTTCATCACCACTGATCACATTTAGGAATCAGTGGGAATTCGGGAAATATTAATGGCTACATCGGAAAAGATTTCCTAATATTAAATATGAGCGAACTGTTTTGATCAGAAAAATGCTAAATTAGATTTTCTAAGCCGAATGAATAAGGATATTATGAAAAGTGTTTAAAAAGCAAATAACATACCTACCTATAAGAAATCTTAATTCCGGAAACAGAGAACATAATGACGGGATGATGGCAACCAATAAATCAAGACCTTTTCGGTAAACTAAACGAGAAACCACAACAATAGTAACTGGAAAAAAAAAGTCAATTAGAAAAAAAGGTTACATTAAGTGCATATTTTGGATTTGAATAAACTTCATCACAAAGACTTCTGAAGGAATTATCATTGGTAGGAAAACCGTGATAAATTATTTCAGTCCATTTTTCATTCAGCCTTTACCATCCACTTCCACCATCTTTATCTTTGTCACATACACTCTTTTAGAGATGGTGTTTTCTCCTAAATTTATAGTGATTGGTCTCTAACCAGGCGGTTCGTTTATCGACTCACATCGTGCAGATGACATAGTTCTGTATAAGCATGCCGAAAAAGTGCAGTCTTATGGTTTCTTTGACAAAGTCGACGAACCATAGTTCGTCTGAGTTTCCAAATTCAAAATAATGTTCTAGGTCTGGTCTGAATTATCCCTCTAAATTAATCATACGGAGTGAATTAGTTGATTTTGTTGACCACTTGACTTGTCTCATCAGCTTTGGTGGTGTTATGTCACAAGGATAATGAGTGGTAACTTTTGCGATCTACTGATGAACCAATACTAAACGTATATTTCTATTGTATAAACTAAACTAGACATATTTATATTCCTCTTACTATAAGCTTTATTTTGACCCACAAACTATTATTATACGTTTTAGCATTTTTGAGTTATACCCAGTATATTAATTACTACCTCCCTCATTCACAGCCACATATGGCTAATTCTTGTACAAATGTTATTTCATATTTTATTGGTACGTTGTGATCTGTTTGATTGGTATATGAACTCAGTATGTTTGAAATATAATGATTTATATCGCAGAGGCTGAGACTTGTGTTCTGGACTTAACTGGCTGGGCTAGGCAGGAAGCAGGGCCAATTAGGACTCTAAGCTGATCGCACGTGTTTTACGCGTCCTTGATCCGATCGATAATTCGCTGCTTCTGATTGGGCGGGTGGTTTGATGCCTGACAAAGTCTTAGCTTGGATCCAGAGAGCTCGATAACTTTTTCTAATTTGTGTCAATCTTTGGCGTAATCGAGATATGTCTTTACAAACAAAGAACGGATATAATGAGCAAAAGTTTGCTATGGTTGTGAAACGTGAACTTTAAAAGTAGGAGGACTTAAGTAGTATTCAAAGGTACAAAAGTAAACTTCAGCAACGTATATAAACAAATTACTAACTGTAATTAGGATCACGACAAGACGGGTCAGGAATAAACGCAGAGGCATCCACTGCATTAGGAATTACAAAAACTCGATCAGCATCATATTTAGCTCGAAGAACTACATTTTCTTTGGTAGTATGTGAAACACAGATCACTTGGTCTACAGCTGTATATACACCTTCCATTACTTTATTCATAATTATTGCTGATAAGTCTGAAAAACCGAAAAGTGAGTGCTCTGTATGAACAGTTCGACAACCAAGGCTCTGTGCATGAATTGCAGCTTCGCAGGCTAAAGGAGAAAATATCTATAACGAGGAAGAAAAGTAATAAAGGTATTACACATTTTAACCACATATATGCATTCTAAGATGAGGTTGCAAATTTCGTGTTTTGTAAATGTTTCGTCAACCGATGGAAGATGCATAGTTTATTTATTTATTTGAACACATGAATATTGGTACAAGAGAGCGCCAATATATATGCGCCACACAAAACAATGAGAATTCGAAGAGAAATAGAAAAAAAAGCTAAGGAGCGCAAAAAAAGAGAACAATAACGAAGAGTTTGGTGTAAGGTAGTGTGGTAGTAATGAGGGAACGGAAAGGTGCAATCGGAAAAAAAAATCTTTCAGGTAAAGGAGACACAACCACTTTTGATGAATAAAGTAAAAGAAGGTTACAGCAGGATCGCCACTGGCTTCTATTCTGAGCAACATCTGATAACGTCTCTAGCCACTGTGTAGCACCATCTCTCAGACCCCAACCAGGGAGTCGTGAAGGTCCAACACAAGCCAGTCCTTTGCAGCTTTCTTTCATACCACGACACCATGTCATGCACTGATCACCTCTCCGCTTCTTCCAACCAGTCCCAGAGTCGGCAAATAATGCACGACGTGGAATTCTCTGAGATGACATTCGAAGAACATGTCCAAGCCACCGAAGTCAGTGTTTCAAGACGATGACTCCAATTGAATTATCATCTCTGTGCCCGAACACACGATGCCGAACCTCTGCATTACTGACATGGTGTTGCCACTGAATGTCAGCAATCCTTCGGAGACAGCGATGATCGAACACAGAGAGTCGTCTAACGTCCTCAACTCGGAGAGGCCAGGTTTCACAAGCATAGAGCAGAACTGCTCTCACCGACGCGTTGTAGATCCGACCTTTTACAGCCAGATTAACATCACGAAGGCGCCAAAGGTGGCCCAGATTGGCATAAGCCGCTCTGGCTTTCACTATACGTGTATTGATCTCATCACTCACACCCTCACCAGCACTTATGCAGCTACCCAGATACACGAACTTCTCGACTACGTCTATCTGCTCACCATCCAGGGTGAGTACAGGATTAGAATCCTCCCAGTCTTGTAGAAGTACTTTGCACTTCGAAGGTGCAAAGCACATACCATACCTACGGACACTGATTGTGAACTGATTAAGTGCAGATTGCATGCCTTGGGCATTATCGCACAGTAAGACAATATCGTCCGCATACTCAAGGTCGAGAAGTGATTCTCCAGGCAGCAGATCCACATCACCATTACTTATATTCATCAGAGCTGTTTCCAGAATGTCATCGATGGCAAAGTTGAAGAGGAATGGTGAGATTGGGCAACCCTGCCTAACCCCACTGCTCGAATGGAACAATGGAGAGAGGTGGTTGTATGTCCTCACTCTTCCTGAGGTGTTTTTATATAGTGCTTTTAGGATGTTAATAAACTTCTCAGGCACACCCTTCTTCAACAGACAATCCCAGAGATGCGATCCCATGGTAGCCGGTGATCAACGATTGGTTCATACGCCATTTGTTCCCGCAGGATACTGGAGCCCATGTGCACCATTAGTTTGTGATCCAACTAAAGCGCCGGACATTCGCTTTTCGTCCTCTCATTTTCGTAAACAACACCCCCGCCACGAGAAGGAAATGAGTAGGACTTCCCTGGCAGAGGCTATATACGCGCGGCCGTGTGAGAGTATTTCGAGAGGAAGAGCGGACTCTCCCCACTCTCGGCCGTACCAGGGCATAGAGTGTGTAATTGGGACGTACAATCCCATAAGACGTTGTTAAACCTTAATTCAAAGCTTTTATATTACAGTTTGTTAGGGTTGTTACACATCGAAAAGTATAATTACGTTGCGACTTGGTATCGCTGACTTGGGTATTATGATTACATCAAGAGTGTTAAATGAATAATCAAAAGGTCTTCGTTACTTCAGGGGACAGTGACTTCAAATGATGAACAGGTTGTAAGACTATATTTTATATGATAATTCCAAACATATAGGCTTTTATAGAGCATCTCGACATTCAACAGACTATGTGGTTAGTGCAACAAATACGCAAAGTGGGCTACTCAGATTATGAACAAGGCCGAACAAATGACCAATCGTACTGAACATAAATTTCCATCGATTTGGGTCAGTCTGACCTTGGTGTTCTGTCTTAAATTAGCTAACCGATGAAAGCTATCTTTACCTTAGAAAAACATAGTCTGTCTTATACGTACGGGACTGTGTACGTGAATATTCAGCTGTGATTATTCTCCAGGTTATGCCCTGTAATTCGAACCTCTTCTCTAATTACCAAACTAAGCCCTTTGAGATTTATTTTTATCCCCGAAGTTTAAAATGATTGTGTGAAGACAATAAGATGTGACAAAACGACATAACTGAAATGGCTAAATTCTGAGGACTTCTAAAGATGTTTTAAACAATAGAAGTGGAGAGAGGATAAGTGTATTGCTATAAATAGGGAATGGTTTTTCAATCAATATGATTAATGTACCCTAAATTCTGTAAAATAAGTTTTACTATTTCAGTTCGTGTATTTATTGGACAAAATACATATCTAGCTTCTGTTAGTTAATAACAACATTTCTGCATTAAGTTTCCGAAATGGAAACTGTTTTTACGAGAAATCATGATGCTCTGAGTGAATTTTCCAAGGTCCAAAAGTCAACCTAATACGTCTTGCTGTAGAAAGATAAAAAAGGGTATATAATTTATATCGATTGATAAAAACAAATTGCATGAATCTGTACGATGTTACCTTTACTCTTGTCGATTAACCAACATATAAGACAACAATCTTGTGATAAGCTAGAAAAGAGGTCAAACGCTGTGGGTATTACGGAAGACATCGCTAATGCATTAGCTTTGTATAGTAAGACACAATGGATTTGCCCTAAGCACTCACCCATTTACAACTATTCCTTAACTCTAAGCCTCTTTTGTTGTGATTATCTGACGACTACGGACAACTATTCAATATAGAATAAAGCAATGTAAATATTTTGTAATAAAAGAATATGACCATCTTACTATCTGTGACACATTTACATAGTTAATCCCTTAATACAGAATGATTTTAATTATTAGATATTTAAATTCACTTGGCATTGTTTAGATGAATCTTCTCATTGATGTTTAGGACTGCAATTTATCAGTCTCTTATTGGCATGTGTGTATACTCTGCATATTGCCTTAATTCACGGGCATTATAAGCAAAAACGAAACGCGTGTCCTGGATTGCAGTTCTAAACAGCAATGGGAAGATTCAAGTAAACAATAGCAATTTAAACTTCACCCCATTGTACAAGCAAGTAGCTATCAGGACTCAGTAGCTAAGTGGATAACGCGATGGTGTGTGAAGCGAACAGTAATGGGTTCGAGTCTCCGAGCGAACGTCAACTCTGAGATGCAGATACATCCAGCTGACCTGTCTGAAATATAACGATACGCACATCCTGGATTCCACTGCTAGCTACTATCCATCTTTGCTTCATATTTATATTATAACTATGAATACATCTATAAAAGGCTAGAATACATATGGTTTATATGTTGCTGTCCATGAAAGTGTTTATCCAACACCCGACAGATATTAAAAGCAAGAGGCCAGCCTATTTAAAAGATTAGCTAACATGATAAAACTTAACAAAATATTTTTAATTTATTATAAACATACTGAATGTCCATGTACAATATCAATCTGTTCACGTATTACTATTTCACGAATTATTGGTAATGTGCCCAGAACTGTGATGAAAATTGACTGTTTATAAAACGGTTGAATTGGAATATAATAGACCTAAAATAAAATTTTTAATTAAACAAAGCCAAATTACAACCACATACTTTAAGTCCACGTGGCAAATATCTTACACCTTGACGTTGACCACCTTCAGAACCATAAGAGTGAGTGATTATAATAACTCGATGACCACGTCGAATAAGGCATTGAGATAAAGCAAAAATATGACTTTCTACACCGCCAACATTCGGGTAACAAAAATCTGATACCATGCTAAAATAAGAAAATCGAATTCTAACATAATCATGAATAATTAAGCATCATTTATGAGCAAAATGATTCTTATTGTTGAAAATAATGAGCGGTGTTTTAGTGGCTAAAACGTACTCAACTGTTAACCATAGAATTGCAGGTTCGAACCCGAGTCCACTTAATTTTGAGAAGCTAATTACCGTTATTAACCGTCAGGCATGAAAAAACTTGTTTGTTTTACATTTTTAATGATAAATTCCGCGAAAATGTGATCCCATTAAAATCTACTATAAACGAAGGATATGGACCGATGCAAAACATTGTAAAAGATATATGCATCATATTAAGATTGAGAATGAAAACATAGTGAAATTTGATGTAAAATCAGATGAGAAAGCCTTGAAAAAGAATATCTAAATAATCATGACGATAAATTCAAGCTGACATATTTTGAAATGTAAATCTTAACACATTTATGAGACATTAAGACCACTTTTTTCCTCAGTGAAATGACTCTCAATACATAGACATAAGAATTGCAGCTTTATTCTTATCTAAGCTAAATTGTTCGCAGAACTTCAAACGTCAGTTTTACAAAGAATTTCCACATGATCGCACTTCAAATTAATGCAGGAAGTTTTTAATGGTTACACAACCAAAATAAAAATTTGTGAACACATTTAATCACGAATAATTTATACGATTTACAGTTACATTAGAAATAATGGAATGAACCGTTTCTTTCTATTTTAAAATCCTACTTATCAAGTCTCAACTGTGTTGAAAAGGTATGCGAAAGGTCTGGGTTAGATTGAGAGTGGAACCGTGGATACTGACTGTTAAAGAGTTATGAACCAGGACGAAACAACAGTCCTAAGTCCTCCTTCCAGGTTTTCATTAGTTCTTTAGTTGATATCACATAGTGATCAAAGCTATCCCTGAATAATTTCAAGATGATTTGATTATTCGACCCATAATAATTTATATTGGCTCCAATTGGTTGAATTCATTGGATGTTGGTAGTTGACTATCATCATTTTGCATGTCAATTTATAAATTTTATAAGTATTTGTATAAAGAAAATAACATCAGCAGCTACACAGTTAACTTAATAATTAGATCATTTTTTTATTCCCGATAGATCGCATATAGCTTATTCCTGCACATTTATCGTAGTCCGTCTTCAGAAATTACCAGTATGAGGGTTCGTGGAGATTGTCATGTTATTGAAATCACGATCCAAATCAAGTTAGAAAACTAATGAAAACCAAAATACACTGGGTAGTTGTTTCACCTTAGTGTCGAAATCCTCAATAGTGTGCATCCACGACCCCACCATATGAGGTCGAACCTAGGACCTTTGAGTCTCGCGACGAGAGCTTAACCTTTTGACTATTGGTTTAGATAATTTAATTCAATAGATTTACGATATTGCGCGAGTATCTTCAATTGTTTTCGGTAACTGCCGCACACTCAAGGCAGTTAAATTCGGCTGGCCACGGTTTCTTACTAGAACTCTGAAAATTGCATGTCATTACTACAGAAAAAGGTAGGTTAAAGGCTGATGTTTTAGTTAATGCAGTGAAAATCAAAACACGAGGACAGTGAAAAATATATAAATTATTAGGTTTTAAGGAATAATAACCGTTTAACGTGATAAATTAGTTATAATTGTTGATTAGTTAGTTTTATGAAATTGTAAAATACTAACTTATTGACAAATAATGTATATTACCATCCAGTCTAATTAATTCAAATTCAACCATTAATCAGTACATGTAAAACACATCTAAAAAACCCAATGTATTCGGGCATGGATTTTAGCTTATTTTCGATGCATAATAAATATTCATCTGTTATCTTTGTTTCCTTCCTTGTCACAATTCCCTAGCATATGTTCCAAACGAGCAGTTAATATCAGTTAGGAACGATGTTCACCTATTTTTACTCAATTAGAAAAAGATTATCAAGAAATATCGCGATTATAAAATGCTAAGCCAACAATGAATTCCAACGTAATAAGCAGTAACGTGAAGAGCGAATTGACAAGAAAGGAACTTACGCGATGTTAAATCTTCCTTTCTTTTGTGGTGAGTTGAGATAGTCATAATTCATCTGATAAAAGCTGTAAATATACGCCTCTGAAAATAAAAATCAAAAAATACATTATCAATTGTTACACAAGTAAAACTGCAACTCATTGACACTATAAAACTATACACTAAAGTGTAACACATCAGTGCGAGATTAGCTCGTGGAAAATATTTTTTAGATAAATGTAGGCTTCACCAGTAGATACCAACAAATACACTTCTACTGGCTATCATTTAATGTTTAGTGATACTTTTATAGCATATTGTAGTGAATGAGAACACGGGTGGGGACAAACGGATGTATTTAGCACAACAATTACAGTCTATTTCAGCAAAATCTGAATACCATATAGTCAATCGTCAATTTGCAAAATATTCATGCATCAAACCAAACTGGGCTGTTTCTGTTGCAAACACCAATCCATTGTCTCCCATTCCATTGTTCATGCATTTTCTTACAAATTCCAATGTGTTCTCTTTCTACCTTTCTTGATCTTCGCCATCTTCCGCTGCCAGACATTACGTTCCTTTAACGCACGTTATATACTACTTATATCAATATAAGTAGATCACACCACAATATTATTACTTATTAACTGTCACTAGTGAAATGTAACTCGATAATTTCAAATAAACTGAACACCGGATGGGTTGCTTTTTAATTACACCAAGTATTTTACGTTTTTTCTTTGCAATCACGTCAATTAACTTCGGTCATTTATTTATTCTCTGAAGACGCGAATTATGTTAAGCCGCAGAAAGTCAAAAACTCAATTTTCTACTCATTACGACACTACAAATGTATTATTGTTGACCATAAATAAATGTTTGCAAAGTATGGCAAATCGACTATATTTCGTTGTCTCATATTTAGCAGCGTTCAAGTTAACTAGCTAGGTAGTTTAAAACAAACTTGAAATAATTGGAAATTCACAAGCAAAATGCTAACCAAAGAACACTAAACTATTAAGAAAACAAAATTGTATTGTGATTGATTTAAATATTTTTGGGAGAAAAGATTTGTCTGTATATGGTAACCTCGTTAAATGATTTCTCAGAGTCTGACAGACTGCTTCAGCTTGTGTACATTAACACCATATAACCACCACCAACATTAAAACCTCTATACACACATTTACAACCATTGATCATCCCATTAAATGTGCTATTGTGTGTTCTACTACCAACGCCTATGCATAAACTGTTTTCTTCATTTTTCAAACTGCTTGATTTCTATTCTCGACGTCCCTTTTACACCGACTATTGATTCCGGAACCAAGTTTCAATCAGTATTATTTGGCAAGTTTAGTTGCCTTTTTGCGATTTATTATATCAGAGAAACAGTGGCCACTCAAAAGCAAGTTGTTTAGTAATGAGACTCTGCTACCAACTGAAAATCTCTCTCGTGGCCCAGACGAAAACTGTATATTTCTAATACAGTTGAATGAAACCACTTACATGGGACACCGATCACTGACCCGGTATATTTGGGTTTTTAATCAATGCATATACCCCAGTGACGATCTTTCTTAACCACCATATGTAACGGAGAGGCCTCTGGTATGTTAAGTTGGTGCCTAGTCGGATAACTATGCCTGAATTCTCTTTCGGCATCAGCGAGTCTATCTGGTGGCAGACCCTCGTTAAAAAGTGAAAACATATATATAAACGAATTATGAATAGTTATGACTAGGAGTTACTTGCATGTTCAGAAAATGTGTTGGAAGAGCTCAAAAATACACAAATTTATGATCACAAAGTGTCATTTTCAATATATATATATATATATATATATATATATATATATATATATATATATATATATAGAGAGAGAGAGAGAGAGAGAGAGAGAAAATCGAAACGCCAAACTGCAAAAGCGTAGCAACGGGATTAGTTAAGGCTAGTCAAGTAGTTGGTGTGGTTGAGAACAGAGTGAAGTGAGAGGTAGTGCATTGTGAATGATAGTCGAGAAACAAAGCGTGTGGACAACATTACAATTTAAATGGAAATGTTGTACTCTCACTTAGGAGAAATGTACAGGTCGGATGGAAGTTAAGGAATGGAAACACTGGAAATCTAATTACATATTAAATCTTCCCTACCTATATGTACAATGTACTAAAATAATGATAGGTCCTAAATCTTAAGGTCTTAAAATCATAGTATCCAAACATGAAAGAAACAATTCGCTATGAGGAACTCGGCAATTTGCAGTCGTTAATTTAAAGTTGACTTACAGAGTAAGATGTCAAATGATTAAGCGCGAGATAATTCCCAACACTTTTAAAAGTTCAAATGTTCACGATTTTTACAAAAATCAGAAAAGCTCTATAGTTACCGGTGCATAGAAACCACATTAATCTACAAATATGTGTCACTAGCTCCATACACATGTAAGGATACTTCTTGTAATCCTATAGGATAACAGATAAAAGTATATATCCACTTTCAAAAATAAGAGTAGGCTACGAACGCACAATGACCCGCAATTTTGGTCCTAACTTCCATAAAATCTAAATAGCTTGCTCCCGAATAGAATCTAACTATAATTAATAATAGAACATAGTGACAGGATAATATTGAGTTTCTGCATGGGCGTATATGATTTTCAGGATTGTCATGTAATAATACTTATACCTAACCTCTACTACTACCGATAGTTACTATTACTATGGGATTTGTCTTTAAAAAATTAAGTGGTAAAGTGGTGTTGCAACCTGAACTGATATATGACATATTTGGTGTTCTACATGAGTGACTGGAGGCTGTTATGCTTGTCAACATTTTTTTAGAATTACCTGAGTATGTAATTCGTCTCATTTGTGACAACACTGTGGAGGAAAATACGCAGCATGGTGTCGTGAAAAATGTTTTCAAGAGTGCTTTACTGCAGCTTCGTGAAATTATTAGTTTGTATCCGGATACATATTTAAATTTAGTCCCATAAGAAAAGTTTTTGGCAAAATCTAAGATCAACCCATTTTTAAACAGAAAAACAGTCCATGATGCTTTCTACTGACAATATAATTGTCAACCCACTGCAGAAAAAATTAAAACCAAATTACGACCACTACAACTTTACAACTCACTACACGTTCGGTACCCTTGACCTTCAGACAAAAGGTTGGTCTTCTTGAAGGCCGTTACATGAAGAAAGACATAAGTGAAATCATTACTGTTAATACGCTTAACTTGAAATCGGTTAAGATATTTCATTTTGTCAACAAGGGAACAAGTTACTGTCTGATAAAACGATTCGTCATTTTTATGCCATCCTGTCACAACGCACCACTTAGGTTCTACGCAAATATGAAGTCTCCACTGGCAATTATGAAGAGCAAACTGATTTCCATTAGTTGAAAAATACTGCAGATAGTGGTTTCAGTTTCAGATTCAGTTCGGAGGAGACAGGAAGTTGAGCGGTCTCTGTTAGTCATGGTGTTCTAGATCATTAATTGAGAGCTGTAATTTGATCCGAATTTCTTTTTAAAGTGTAAACAGATTGATCTTCAAACAAGTGTTGAGATAATGAATTTCACTCGTTGATCGGTTGGTTGAAAGTACATAGTCAACCAACAAGTAATTTGTCCTAGTAAATTCTCTGATTTGAAATACAAAAAAAGTGAGTGCATATACAACCATGTTCACCATAGTATACACATCCTTAGTGAGAACTAAGTTTGAGAACTGCGTTCAGGCTGCAAGTCCCTGTTTAAAAGGTGACTCGGATATCCTAGAAAAAGTACAGAGGGCAGCTACCCGTGTAATTCCAGAACTCCGGGGTTCACCATGCAAAGAGAGGCTTGAAAAGCTGAACCTCTTTACTCTGTCCTATCGCAGACTAAGAAGAGATCTAATTTTGATGTAAAGAATACTGAGAAATGATTTCGGACCTAACTCATTCTCTCTCTTTCTTCCCAATAGATCGGGATATCTCAGAGGATATAGCAGGCGAGTAGAAAAGCCAAGAACGGACAAAATACCCATGGCATACAGGTTTTCACACCGAGTCATCAATACTTGGAGCCTACTGCCTAAAGCAGTGGTTTCCGCACCTTCAATTGACTTTTTCAAGAGAAGACTAGACACTCACAGAAGTATACTAGAAAAGGAATAACGAAGGGTTCTAAAATCTTTGGCGGCTATCGCATGGAAGTATGCAGTAGTTTTAATGCTTGGCTAACGATGAATCATAAGTGATTGTGTGTGTTGACAACAGGTAGCTCAATGTTATTCATCATGTATGTACCTGTACCTCAGTGACCAATATGCATCACAATGCACTTGGAGGTATTTATCGGCAACCGTCAAGTTTAAGACCATTCAGATAATTTCTCCAAGTCATTTTGAAGCTCTAAGCTATCACCCCTACTTTTTATCGCTATCCATATCTTGGCATAATCATTACATAACAATCTCAAATCGTCGTGGCACAAATAGATAAAATGGCGTATTAATCTATAATTCTTCATTTTCTTGGGTCGATGTGTGTGCTTACATATTCATTTTTATGGAAAACCTTGTTTTGCCTACAAGTTGTCTCAAGAGGTGAGACAACAATTTAATATCTCATATGGCATTGTAGTGATTCTAGAATAATACTGAATCCTCAACGTCAACCATCCATCGAGCTGAACTGTTTCTGCGTTAAACGACAGAGCAGTGAGCATCGAATGATACATGTAAATTGTGAAGGTTAAAGCGCTGAAGCAGTTACATTGATGAAAATGCATGCCTCAGCCAAGTAGGCATGGTTACTGCAGCCTTCATCTTTCTACTAAATATACTACTCGATCAATAGGCTCTATCTTTAGAGTGTTGTTGCAACTACCTCTGACTGCCACGATGGGGCAAGTTATCAGAGAAAATGACGCGACTTTACGTGACCATTATGTATAACGAGGAATGTCAGACTTCACTCTTCAGTAATAAGGATAGGAAGTCTGTCGACCTATATTAATACTTGCAGTTTGTAATACTGTAGAGGTGTAATCTCGTTTTGAATATATCAACAGAGGGTGCTGATATTACATGTTCCGGTAGAGAACTTCAGTAATTCATTACTCGGTGTGAGAAACAAAACTGCAGACTTAAACGACTTGATCTCTGCTTTCTAACTTTCTTCGAATGTCCTCTCAAATTATCAGTCCTAGACGAAAGTAAAAGATAAGACATGTTATTACCAAGGTCACCGTTTAGTATATGATAAGCCAATATTAGATCACTCCGTATTCTACGGTAAGATAACGGAAATAAGTTAAGGTGTTTCAGTCTGTCTTCATAAGAAAGGCTAGATAGACCTTTAGCCATCTTAGTCTCTCGTCGTTGGACTCTTTCCAGCATATCTGCTCCATACTTGAAACAGGGATTCGCTGATTGAATCCCATATTCTAAATGTAGTTGCATGAATGTCGGGCATAATAATTTAAAAATTTTGTCATCTAAATACTGGAAAGACCTACAAATAGACCATAATACTATGTAGATTTTCGCAGCAGCAACGTTACAGCGACTAGTGGTTTTGAGATCACTGCTTAATATGACTCCTGAATCTTTATAGTCTCTTACTGTGAGTAGCAAGTGTCCACATATTGTATAATGATACGATTCATCATAGTTATTTAGTTGCATCACAACACTGTTGTTGGATTCTACTTCTGGTGACCACATGTTCATCCACGCCACCAATGAGCTAAGATCATCCTGTAATACTATTCCGTTTGACATACTGTGTATGGGTCTCCAAATCTTTATGTCATTAGCGAAGAGTAGAACAGATAATTTGGCTACAGTTGGTAATTCATTTACATAAAGTAAAAAGAGAAGAGAACCGAAGATTGTACCTTGGGGAACTCTACTGTTTACAGGCACAGTACACTAACGTAATCAGGCCAGTATAAGATAAAGTTCGCGTTGGGTGAGTACGACTTCGCAGATATTGATCCGTCAGTTAGAAATTTTTTCTTCCACGGAAGGCTTTGTACTTTGTCTCTTACATTTTATCTTACATGTCAGAAGCTCTCGAGTTGTTCAGTCTTATAACGACTCTCCTACAATCAATGTTGATTATAATTAAATTTTATTTAAGGGTTTTTATGAAGTTACTTAACAGATAGTGTCATTTAAACAGTAACAATTCTCATATTTTTTGTACTATTGTGATAACTACCATAAACGTGTACGCTTGATCACATAACAGACTCTAGTTTAAATATCGCTCTGTGAATCATTCTCTTCCCCATGTATATGTGTACGCGATTTGACTATGAATTTGCCCCTGTCTTTGCTCGTATACACATATTCTTCGCTCTGCTTCAAATACGCTCGGTGTGTTTATAACTTTGTAGTCTGTGCTTTACATAAATTACTTGTAGATGCCACTTCTGATTTAAAATATCGTTGGAATGTATACAACAGCGGTTATCGAGGTAGTTGATTAACGAAGCAATGCTACTACAGTCTCCGCTGATAGTTTATGCTGGTCATGTCGTTACTCAACGAGAGTTAATGGAGGATGCGGAGGTATGTGCACCCCAGGGCGACCTAGAACCTTTAGATAGCTAGTATCAAGCCTAGGTGATAACGATCAGGGTGGCCAAGTGTGTACACGGGTCAAGAACGGACAAGATATCCGTTGCAGGCAGGTTTCACACATAGTCATTAACACTTACAACCCATTAAACAAAAGAGTAATGCACACACCCTCAACTAAATCGTTCAAGAGAGAACTGGAAACCCACAGAAACCTACTGGACTAGAAACTATGTAATATATCAGCGTTCTGTGCATGAGTCAGAATGTGAATATGAACCAAGAATGCACTTCCACTACACAAAGAAGTTCTAAGAAATACATAGAACTCTAATTATGCCTCACAAAGCCTAAGCTAATTTCATGGACATTAATTTTCGATTTATAAATGCAAGGCTAGGAGTAAAGAACATTGAAAGCGATTGTTTACTCCAATAAGTTTTATTTTTAAAACAATTTATGGGGTTTTCATATGGACTTTCGAGATATCCTTAATGGATTAACGATGCCTACATTTATCACTTATGTTCTGATAGCAACTGATGCGTTTAACTTTTATCAACAAGTATTCTAAACTTTGTTAACTGACTTCCAAACTTCACTTTAGTATTTATTGGGCCTCCACCTGAAAATACTATCGATAAATTGCTCCTAAAGCTTGAGTTCTGGCAACTGAAAAGGGGTTCAGACATTCCACACATAATCATTTCTGATGAAGAGTACTTGGCCTTCAGATACGTTTAAGCTCATTAGTTGTTAATTATGGTTAGGAATCGACCTTCACACTGCAAATGAATAACTTGTTGCAAAGACTTATCACTATTGTCTGTTTAGTCTTGTTTTTATCGAAGCAAAAAACGACTTATGATACAATCTAGTCAATTTTATGGATGTACAGTCATGAGCAGTTTAATGTCTCAAATTCGTTCCCTATTTCGTCCTGTGTCAAAAGTTCGGGGAAGTAATAATAACTCCGAGGCATTTTTAAGGAGAGTAAGGTTGTGTCTTCTTACTGCAGTTGCTGGTTATGACAATAAGCACACTAAATATTCAACGAGGATTTCGCCGAAATGGGTTTACGGGGATGATGCTTGCTTCTTATCAGTAACAGATTCTTCATACGTCTTAGGTAAGTCGTGTCATTAAAACAAACAACTTAACCGGATATTGTGGCGTTTGCATATAGTTTTTCGTTTCTCAGAGTTCTTTCAGCAACCATTTATAAACCCTAATGTTTCTTAATTAATTCGAAAAGTATACGTAAATGATTGACAGGTCTCTCCTCAATAGCTAGGTATCGCTTCGCTTTCTACAGAATCATTCCACATATGTTCCGATCATAAAACTCCTTCGAAGCTTTTATTAGAGTTGAAAAGTTTACTCGTGTTAGTTTAGGTTGCTAGATTTTCATCGTAAGACGTACCGCTACCTAAGGTAAACGTAAAATGTAACCAAAAGTTATTTTAAATATTGTAACATGTTTAGTAAACATGTAAAGTGTTTAATAGACATTCAGTAAATATTTGGGGTTTCCGGATGTTTCATGCTGGAGAGAGACTGAATAGTATGTCGTGTCACGTCTGGACTATTTTATGATGCTTTATTATTTAAGGTCATTTAATACTTGTGTATAGTTATATTTTTAAATTGTAACTACTTGGTATTCAAATAAACAAATGTAAGACTTGATGCGGCTCAATTCATCTAGGCTTCGTTGTTCGTAGGTGAAATGGGGATGTGTGTTGTTCACTTTTACAGATTCTGGGTCTCCGTTTGTTGTACACCATCACTACTTTTAGCTTTGGCCTTTGCCAATTCATAGCTGATATTGTGTGAGGATGTTTAGATAATTAATGCTCCTGCATTTCTTTGATTGGTCTAAAGTCTTAGTTTTCCCTGTACTTTTAATTCCATTGACCCCCCACCTTTTATTTTAACCCTTAGTAAAATAAGCATCAAAATGTATCGGATTATAGCTTGTTAGCAGTAAATTAAATTACAAGCCTAGTTTTTAAGTACATCTATTTTATTTGGCGTAGATTTTTTGTAGAGCAAGTTTTATAGTATATTTCGGATACTAAACATAAAACTGTTCTACCAGTCTACTTTCAAATCCTCTATCGTTCTTATTTCATACGAAATGTTATATTTTATGTTTATTAGGTGTCGCTGATGGTGTTGGTGGTTGGCGGTCGTACGGAGTTGATCCTGGTCGTTTCTCTAGAGCAGTTATGAAGAATTGTGAGCGTGTTGTAAATTCCGGTCGTTTTATTCCCGACAAGCTAGAGGTTTTAATTGCCCAATGCTATGAAGATGTACTAAATTCCAAAGAACTTATTTTGGGTATGATAAGTCGTTTATAATTGTCTCTCCCTTGTGTTTCATTGTTATTTGACAGCAGGTTCAGTCTCTTTCTAAGAACCTAGTAGAATTAGAAAGTCAATTAGCTATCTCTTATTGTTGTGTTACTAAGGGAAGTACAAATAATTTTGAAAAAATTGAACGAATGACTCTTGGTTAACTCAATTTCGTACACTTAAATTTAAGATAAGGTTTATCCTAACCATAAGCCACTTTTCTTCTTTATGGTCTGATATTTTTCATCAGTAAAAGCAGTTTGCTGTAGTTCCAAGTTTTTGTTGTAACCAAAATTTTTTTAAAAAAAACCATTTCCGCAGTGGACATTGAGTAAAACTTTTGTTGTTAACTACGAGCTTTCTTCTTTATTTGTATCTTTAGCTCGCTTTGGATCAACAACCAACCAAAAACGACCTACCTAAACAAATCAGAATGTTAGTAGGCTGATTGTTTAGTGTGAGTTCATGACAACTATTTTAATCCACCCAGTATGTGGACAGTTATTCCACATTATTCAGTGGTTATTAGTAAATTGTAAGTGCCCAATATAAAGTAGTTGAGAAAAATTTCAACTCGTAACTGAAAAGTCTAAATCAGTTTTGAGGCAGTATAACCATAAATGCAGTGTATTTTTAGTTTGTTTGATTATAAGTTTAGTCCTTTATAATGAAGGAATTTGTTTTAAATACATAAATGATTTTGCAGCTCTGAACGTACTTATCAAAGGATTTTTGTTCTGTCATTTCTGTCACATCCACTGTGTCTATGGTGCTTTTTGTATGTTACTGTGATGACATGACTCAAAATCAATTGCACTAGCGTAGATACATTCATTCATTATCTTCCCCTAAATTTCCAGTCTAATTCTATGCTTTTCATCCTACTGCTTGGCTTTTTCTTGCTAGATTATATTTCTTTTCCGTAGTTTCTATTTATTTGATGTTGTTACTCCTACTCATCTTTACTTTTCATCATGTAAATTGACTTGATTATTGCCACATATTATACAACAGCGTGAACCGGAAAAGTCCCATTAGATCCTTTGTTATTTACGATTGATCCAATCATTAATTTTATACCGAGCAACACCCATAAAGGTACAAGTAGGTATCACTTAAAGCGATTGTGTTCATATACAAACTGAGAGTACGCTTGTGCCGAGGTACGACATGTATTGTTTAAATGCTCGCTATTTGGATTACTTCCAAAAAACTCAGTTTTGACAATGTTACAAACACAGATATCAAAGCGTCAGCTAATGATTTTTATTTTTGTTTTGGGACATATTTGCAAAAGCTTATTTTGTCTCTAGGTTTTATTCTATAGTTAAACTGAAGAGGTTTATTTGAAACAAAACTAGGGTGTAATTTATTTTAAATAGCATAATAATCAATGACAGTTTTCACATAAAATGTAATACGAATCCTCCTTAGTGAATTTCAGTGAACTAGGTGCATGCGAAAAAATCACTGTTCTTAATGGCCCAAGGTACATTTAGAGCTGAGTCAGTAAGATTGACATTCGACTCTCAACCATTGGACTATGAAATGAACAATATATGGTATTGATATCATAAACACCATATATGTAGCTCTTTTGTTCAAAACGTTATGGATTTTAATAAAAGTTGTTTATTGAAGATACATCAACGCCTGTGAACCATTGGTTTATCATATGTCCGTGTACATCTAAGTTTAGTGAGTGCATATACTATTATTATTATTATTATTATTATTATTATTATTATTATAGGTAGCGCAACCCTATGCATAGTTTCATTGCAACGTAATGAACATAGAGTTTATGGTGCCAGTTTAGGTGACAGCGGCTATTTGGTTATACGTGAAGGACATGTGATTCAACGTTCAGTCCACCAAAAGCATTCATTCAATACACCATTCCAATTGTCTTGTCCACCTACGCTTCGCTCAAGACGTTTTCATTGTGATTTGTAGGTTTCAAATAACATTGTTTTAATTTTTGAATATTTGAGTTCTGATTCAAATAATTAGTACATAATATGTACTGCATAATTTTCAATGTAATTAAAATCAAGAAATAATGTAGTTTTGGGGTAGAAATTTCTAAATTAAACTGACAATAATACCTAGCAATCTAGAGTGACGTAGTCGATGTGCTGTGTAGGTTCAAGACTGAAGGAATAATTCAGAGTAAATACTCAGACCAAGATATCATAGTTTTATGCTTAAAAGATTGGTAGACAGGTATAGTTCCACATTTTGATTAACGTTATCAGCTGAAATGAGTTTTTTTCAGTCAATCTCTTGATATATCAGTTATTGATAATAATGAAGGAATGTCAGTTAATTGTTCATTGTTCATATGGAATATTGGATTACTGGTTATTGTATTCATTTTAGATAACTAGGCAGCACACCAGCCTCCAAAAAACCAGTGTAGTCCAGAGTCGTCCTTGGTTATTAAATACATAAGTCTACGTGGGCAATCGATAATTTTTTATCCGGTTGTTGAGTTAGATTCCAATGTCTACATGGCGATTATATATCGAACCTCTCCATCTGTGTAACAGTTATGCTTTCCTCTTCAATTACAGTAAATGAAAAGAAACAATTTAAGTTTGGTTTAGTTACATTGCCAGTATACCGAGCCTTTGGAAATAAATTTGTCTAGTCTAATCTGAATTGTAATACATTGTTCAAGAATAATTTGATCTTGTGCAACTTTTTTAAACCATAAATTTGGTTGCATTGGATGTTAAATATTTCGAACTACTAGAATAATATCGAAACGGAAATGACTATCGAGGAAAATATATAGTGAACAAATTGACTAATATAGACCGGTGATTGTAAATAAAATGGGATCTACTACTAAGTGAACTTATTTCTTTGTGAGTACAAAACTCCTAACGTGGTCAGAAATAATATCCGGTATTTGCTTGATCTGAAAACCGTTTTAATCATGTAAAAAAGCTATTCAGTGTTTAATTATCATTGATATTATCATTCCCAAATATCTTGTGTGATGTTTCCTACCCAAAATTTGTTTCTTGTCTTATTTTTTATTTACTATGCAGTCATTACCGATTTGTCAATGCTTTTGATAATTTAAGTACTTCTGTAGTAAATTATATGTATTAAAATATTTTATAGACCTAATCAAGCTGCCCAAACATCTGTAGAAGTCAAACCGGGTGACGTAATTATCGTAGGCACAGATGGCTTGTTCGATAATTTGACAGAATCAATGATATTACAAGAGATAAAAACCATTGAGGTAAGCTGTGTGTATTTGTATGGAAACATTTATCAGTCAGTCAGTCAGTCAGCTACAACGTAGAACCATGCACTTATGTGCATCGGTCCAGGTTGCCATACCGCATCAGCACAACAAGATGAACACCGGATTCATAACAGTGGTTAGGTAAAAGGTGGTAATATATAAGAGAAAGATTGCATATAGAGATATAGTACAAGAAGAAAGAATTGGTTAGTAGAAAGAAAGATATGAAGCGCTTTTAATCTCTTAGTTTAAGGGAAGAAACCGAGTGTATACACCGACGCCATTGTGATCGATTCTGAGCCATGTCACCAAGAGTCTCCAACCATTGGTTACGATAGTCACGCGGACCCCAACCAAGTAGTCTGCATCTACCAACATGGCTCAGACTAGAAGTTAGTGACTTCAAGCACTGATGCCACGTTTTGGTTTGGCCGCCCCTAACTTTCTTCCAACCATCCCCAACACCGGATAGCATTGCACGTCGTGGTAATCGGTGTTCAGGCATACGTAACACGTGGCCCAACCATCTCAGTCGATGAAGATTCATAACCTCATCAACTGATTTACCATCCTTTCCTAATACCCTGCGTCTAACCTCATTATTACTTACCCGATTATCCCAGCAGACGCCAGCAATATTTCTAAGGCATCTGTGGTCAAATACTAGCAGCTTGCGAGTGTCTTCTACTCTTAGTGGCCATGTTTCGCTACCGTAAAGTAAAACAGAACGGACTGCCGCGCAGTATACTCGTCCTTTTATTGATAGACGGATATCTCGCCTTCGCCACAGGTGACGTAAGTTGGCAAAAGCCAAACGAGCTTTTCGAATCCGTGCTGAGATTTCGTCCGATACCAACCCATTAGGGCTGATCAGACTTCCAAGATAAGTGAAGTTGTCAACGCGTTCGACTACTTCACTCCCTATCCTTAGTTCAGGTGTTAACGCAGACCAGTCCTGAAGCAACAACTTGCATTTAGAGGGAGAGAAGCGCATTCCAAACATTCTGGCATTGTTGCTCAGTGCTACCAGAAGACTTTGCATTTTGTCAGCGTCTTCACCAAACAGGACTATGTCATCTGCGTATTCTAAGTCGATAAGTGGACCTCCTGGAAAGAGATCAATACCCGAGAACTCAGTCGACGAGAAAGTTATTTCCATCAGTAGGTCTATGATGAAGTTAAACAAAAATGGGGAGAGTGGACATCCTTGACGGACACCACTTGAGGTTGCAAAAGTAGATGACAGTTCGCCATAAGCTCTCACTCGACTAGTAGTGTTCGAGTAAAGAGCCTTCACAAGGTTTATGTACTTCTGAGGTACGCCTTTCAATGACAGACACTGCCACAGAACCTCGCGGTCTACCGAGTCAAATGCTGCTTTTAAGTCAAGAAAGACCACCATCGTCGGACGCCGATAAGTGTGCCTGTGTTCTAGAACCTGACGAATGGTGAATATGTGGTCGATGCAGCCACGACCAGGTCTGAAACCAGCTTGGTTTTCTCGTGTTTGCAGTTCACGAGTCTTAGTTAGGCGTCTGATAATTATCGAGGCTAGTATTTTAGATATTATATTAGTTAAACTAATCCCTCTGTGGTTGTCACAGGATGATTTTGACCCTTTCTTATATATTGGGACGATAAGTGATTGTGCCCAGTCAGATGGAATAACGTCTAACTCCCAGATCTTAGCTAAAATATTAGTCAACCTAATCGCTAAAATTGGACCACCATCTTTAAAGACTTCTGGAACCAGTCCATCTGGTCCAGCTGCCCTTCCTCGTTTCAGATTATCTATAGCCTTTTGAACTTCAGCAAGAGTTGGGGGACCTACTTCAATGTTCCATTCACGCTGTCTGGGAATGGAGGGTAGTTGTAGAGTCGCTGAAGGCCAGCTGAACTGTTCTCTGAAATGTTCCGCCCATCGTTCTAAACGTCTGGACTGGGAGCAGATGAGAGTGTCGTCTTTTTCCGATATAATCTCACTTACACTTGACTTATTAATTCCAGTTTCTTTTATTAGTCTGTAAAGTTGTCTTGTGTTCCCTATAGTCGCCGCCTTTTCCATCTCTTTTGCTTTCGTTGCCCACCACTGCTCACGGTCGTTTCTTAAACTTTTTCTTAACCTAGATCTGATTTGTTGTCGCTCTTCATCATGTTCGGAACCTGATGGGACAAATTTGCGAGAATCCATCAGTGTGATAGACTTTGAAGAAATCCACTGGTTCTTGGAAACTCTGTGGTTTAAGTTGCTAATAGATGTCACTGCTGCTTCCACAGCTGCTTGTATGTCTTTCCAAGCAACATCTGGGTCAGCCTCTTGTTCAGAACTACTTAAGTGTGAACTCAGTTGTTCTTGGAACCTATTTTTGGTTTTCTCGTTGCTCAATTCAGTTCTAATTGGTCTTTTTAATGTGGCTTTTTTGCGTCCAGTGAGGCGCAAGCAGATGCGTGCCCGTATTAGGGCATGATCGGAGTCCAAGCAGGTACTCCAGAATGAGCGACAATCTTCTACCGACCCTCTCCAACGATGACTGATGGCAATATGGTCTATTTGAGTCCATCGTTGGTTTGGTGTAGGGGGTCGCCATGTTAGACGATGTCTCTCCTTATGCTTAAAATTTGTGTTTGCTAAAAATAAGCGATTGTCTGAGCACAGTTGCAGCAGACGATCACCATTATCTGTTCGCTGTGCCGGAATGCTAAAATATCCACCTAAATGCCTTTCTGTTTGGTTTAAGCTACCTATCTGCGCATTAAAGTCACCCCCTACGAGTACTATGTCTGAACGTTTAGCTTTCTGAAGAAGTTCAGAAAGCTTCCTGTAAAATTCATCCTTCACTTCATCGGTGCTGCAGTCAGTGGGAGCGTAGGCAGAAACGACAAAAAGGCAACGACGTGTGTCCCTATCCTTCCGAGTTCTTACGGAGCCGTTTAGCCGAACAGCACATAGACGACTGTTGATGGGGATCCACTCTAGCAGTGCTTGTTCCGCCCTCATGCTTAGTGCTATGCCTACACCTGCCAGTCCACGAGAACTGGCCATCGGGTCACCAGATACACGTAGGGTGTATCTCGTTGGCTCTCCGTTTTGCCGAGGTGAGGTCAAGTGAATGACCACACTAGAATCCTGTATGCGTGTTTCGGAGACACAGCATACATCGATGGAAAGAGACTCTAGGGTTTTAGCCAAGGAAGCCTGCTGACCGATTTGACATAAAGTGCGTACGTTGAAAGCTCCAATGTGTAGTTTGGAGCGAGGTTTCAGTAGACCTGGGACAGAGTTTTGCGCACTAGAATCGTTGGCTATGGTGACACTTGAGGAAGAAGCCGAAGGAGGAAGTTTAGGGTTGAAAGTCGATGTAGGAGGAATGATAGGAATTGAAGAGGAAGGTTGATTATGAATACAGTGGTCTTGGGTGCTGTTAAAGGTATGAGGGCGGTTATCACTTCCCGGTTGCCCACACCGTGGAAGGGTTCTTCTGGAGGTACCTGAAAAGGAAATTGGATTAGAGGCGGTCTCGGCGACCTGAGAGCGTGACCGCAGTGCCCAAGGGACAACTGCTTGAGGCCGGTCGCGCACGGCCTTTCCGTGGAGGGTTTTTGACATGTTAGCTCCGTTCTTCAAAGGGCCTTACCGCCGGAGACGGAAATCCGTGAGGTAAGGTGAGGTGTGCATTTTTAGGGTCGACCTTTTCTAACCCCACCCCTCCTTGTGGGAAGGCAGCATCGCTGTCATGCTGGTTGTCTGAAGGAAACACCTTACTGCTGTCACACCTCTGTACAGTCAGCAGTACGACTTCGCCTTCGGACCTTAGGTTTGTTGCTTTTAGTCTTACCGCTCTTCAACCGACCTGTCTGACATGGTAGGACCTTGAGGAACGGTTGTTCCAGCCAGTATAGCTCGGTTGCTTCATCACGATAGGCAAGCCCGACCACCACGTCAAGGTAGCAACAACGGTCGGGGAAACATTTATCAACTTCATTTGAAGATAAATGAGAAATTTGGTCTTCACATAAGTGTTTGAAAACCGTCAGAAGTTTCCAGACTCATATGGTTGATTGGAAGGAAATCGAATATTTTTAATATAAAAAAAAAAAAAAAAAAAAAAAACTGAACAATTTTTAGGGAATGTTAGGATATTCGTCCGTTTTTTATTGATGTGAACACTACCATATATTGTTTCTAATGGTCGGCTATAACCGTTGTGGCACAATCACTAGGTAATTATTCAATCTCCGACAAAAAGGCTCGTCGTATAATTGTATAGTTGATCACGCTCTATATTGAATAACAGTGGTTGTGAATAGAATAAGAACTTTAGAAAAGGTTCAAAATTATCTTATTGAAGTATTTCTTTCAACTTGTTAGGTTTTTTCCACCCATCTAGCCATTAAAAGAAGCCGTATGTTATCGGAATTTCATTATGGGGACAGTATGAGTTATCTTCAGAATGGTCTAGAGTGTTCCTAAATAGTGTTTAAACTTATATTCTCCATCGTTTATGGGCCATAAAATGCTTGATTCTTACTATGAGGTCTATTTTCTTACAAAACCTACTTTGATTGTGTTCACACTTTATATACACACGTGATTATCTTATCATAGGTCCTCTTAAATTTTCACATGTGCTAACTTCATTCTGTAGAAACAAGTAAACAGTTAGCATAAAACATTACATTAGTGCGTAGTTATCGACTATTATATTAAATTGTAATTTGGAATTTTGGGTAGTTTTGGTCTTTTTATGTGTATACGTACTTCACCTAGTAGTTACTATGCCGTACATTTGAAACTCCAAATCGTTCCCAAAGTATATATCCCTATCATTCTCATTGTCAGTCTATACTGATTTCATCTACCTTTCCAGCTTTTTCTATGATAGCTATTTTATCTGTCCTCGTAATCACTTTAAATGGACCATCATAGTTCGGCTGCCAAGGTGGTTGTACGTTATCTCTTCTAATGAACAAATGAGTGCTATTATGCAGTAAACGTAGCGTAGCTCCATACACCAACTTTGCTTAACAACATCCAATATCCTGTTTAATTGTTGTTCTTAAACCCAACATGATTAAAGTAAGCTTATTAGCCCAATCGTTATTGACAATGACAGACGCTTTTAACTGTCTGTGCCGGCGTTCAAGCATACCGTTTGCCATCGGATGTTAGAATATCGTGCGAATACGTTTAATCCCGAGTTCTGTAAACTGCTGGAAAAGGCGACTTTCGAGTCGAGCTCCTTCACCAGTTGTGATAATCTCTGGCACTCCATAACAAGAAGTCCAGTTCTCGATTAAGGCTTTGGTAACAAACTCGGCTGAGGCACCCTTTATTGGTACCACTACAGGCCATCGCGTGAATTTATCGATGCATATAAAATTGTGGTTGTAGCCACTGGAAATTGACAGAAATTGATATTGTTATAGCAACTCTGTTAAAATTAATTTTGATTACGCGTAATGAACTTATTTAACAGACAGTGTTATTCGAACAGTAATAATTCGTATATTTCATTATATTATTATGATCACGATCATGTCTGTATAAACGTGTATGCTTGATCACATGTGACAGCCTACACACCTATTCTTCATTCTACCTTAAGTGTTAATCACTTAAATATCTCTTGATGAACCATTTTACTTCCCATATATATGTGCTAGAATCTCATTAATTGCCTTGCCGTGTAGCATGTTCGGGATGCGATTCTCTCCCTTGAAGTGCAAAATGTTGCTTCAGGATTCGGTTGCATTGACACCCGAACTAATGATAGGGAGTGAAGTAATTGATCGTGTCGATCGCTTCACTTATCTTGGAAGTCTCATCAGCCCTTGTGGTCTGGTGTGTGACGAAATCTCAGCACGGATACAGAAGGCTCGACTAGCTTTTGCCAACTTGCGTCATTTATGGCGTAGGCGAGATATCCATCTATCAACCAAAGGACGTATTTACTTCACAGCAGTTCGTTCCGTCCTACTTTATGGCAGTGAAACATGGTCGGTAAGATTAGAGGATATCCGTAGGTTACTAGTATTTGATCATAGGTGTCTTCGAAATATTGCTCGTATATCCTGGGACCATCGAGTAAGTAATGCAGTTTTTAGGAAACGTACTAGGTAAGGATGGCAAATCAATTGATGAAGTAGTTAAACTTCACCAGTTGAGATGGCTGGGACACGTGTTACGTATGCTCAACGACGGACTGCCTCGACGTGCGATGTTCAGTGGTATAGGAGTAGGTTGGAAGAAAGAAGGGGCGGTCAGACCAAAACATGGTACAAGTTCATGAAGTCACTGACAAGTGGTCTGAGTCATGTTGATAGGTATAGACTACCTGGTTGGGGACCGCGAGATGATAGCAACCGATGGTTAGAGACCCTGAATGACATGGCTCAAAATCGTTTGCAATGGCGCAGGTGCATACACTCTTTGTGTTCTCCCAAATTTTGTTCTCCTTATTCCTCCTTGTCTCTTTTTTTTCTCTTCTCAAATTTATTTCACTGTATTATACTCTTTAACATCTGCAAACACTGATTTTCCCGATTACTGCTTATACTCTTATTACCTCTACCACTACGGGATTTGAATCGACTACTGTATCTCTGTGCTAATGTGGTGTGACAACTCGAACTGACGTACGTACGAAGTTCTGCGTTGTTACTGACTGACTGGCTGCCTTGCCGTGCTTCGCTTCACCTTGGTTCGATTTGACTCCGAATCTGCCTCCGTTTCCGCTTGCTCGCGCGCACTCGCCTTCCTTCTCCAATTCGCTCGATGTACTTGTAACTTGGTTATCTGTGTTGTCCAATAATAAACTGTAGTCGTCACTTCTTGTTTCCTTCTGAATTTTTATACCGTTGGAATTTATTTAATAACGGTTATCATGGCGATTGATAAACGAAATCTAAGGTATTATGTCGAATCCAAACCGTACAATGTTCTTGGAGTACTGTGTGTTAAATGAGTTAATTGAAGGGCTTGACAAAATCAACTGTTAACAAAATTAATCGTAAGAAAGTTGCTTTAGTTGACCCACCATTATTTCAGGTTTTCTTGAACAATTACCAGCATTGTATGGTATTTATTTCACATTGTTGTGGCGATAGACCAGGATCATATATACTCATCAACAACATAAAAATTCAATTTACGTAACATAAACTGGTTTTAGAATTTTGTTTAAGTTTAGATTTTGAACCTGATTTTCATTGAAATTTTTCACTTGACTAACAATAACGGTTTTTCTCCATCAGTTGTTGCTATGATATCAGTGAAACTTCTTCCCTAGACTGTTAATATATATCTTAAGTAGCTTTGAATGTGAATAATGTTTAAATTTAACTTTTATGTCGAAGTCAATGTAAAATTCGGAAATTTATTTTATGATTATTTGTCGGATAGAAAGTAAGAGTTTAAAAAGATACATAATAGACAGGTTTCCTAACTGTATTTTCTCTCCATTACTACTTTCCAGTTACTTGCAAACTGTACAATTGATAGTTTAAAACAATGTGCTACACGTCTTGTAGAACAAGCTCGGAGTGCGGCGTTCGCTCCTGATTTCGTTTCTCCATTCGCTAGTGAAGCACGTCGTTACGGTATAAACATTGCAGGTCAGTTGGAATTAATTTCTGTTCTTATCAAATTGAAGTGTATTTTTTTCTACCATTGATTCGTTTTTTTGTGCACATTAGAAGATGAAGGAATTTGACTCCATCTCCAACCTTAACACTTAAAATTAAGGAAGAGTACACAAATTTATATTTGATAAATTAGTAACTGAGTATATTTGTGTATTATATATTCTCCATTATAGTAACTAAGCTTGGTATGCTTATTTCACAGATTTGAAGTCAGTTAACATATAACAAACGGTAATGATGACTCCTTGAGGAGTACTTTGTGTAACTTTGAGATGGTGGAGAAAATTTGTTAAAGTGTGGCAACTGGGTGTTGCAATGTGGAAGTGCCGGGCACTTTGTGTAACTGCTACTCTCCCAGTTATTCTGTCTATTCTTCATTTCTTTACAATGATTATAATATTCTGTGTGGTAGATTTCATCTGGAGCCTACTCATATTAATACTTCTATGTATTAGGTAAATATAGATCACATAGCAATTAAAGTTAATGTTAAATATTTGACCAATTATTTCGAAACCTTCTGAAGTTTTCATGGTGATTATAGACCTCTTGACATTTCATCAAATGGTTCTTATTTTTAAGTATGTCAACAATTTGTCTTTTAAAAAATTTGGTTACAGTATTTCCTATGTACCTGGAATAGAAACAGTGAAATAAGATTGTTTTCTAAAGCTTATCATTTTTGTTTAACTGAATGGTTGCAGAGATGCGTTACATTTTGTAATCGTTTACGTCATGAGCTAACCTTAGTTGTTAAGTAACCAATACGAAACAGAAACAACTGAAAACATCCATCTTGTCCTACGTTATAACTTTGGGACACGACCTCAGAAGGCTCGATTGATTTTCGCCTACTTGCAACGCATACGATATAGGCAAGATGTCCATTCATCAACCAGAAGACGAGTGTACGACGCATTAGTTCGTTTTTGAACCAACACACAAATGTACAAGGTTCTATGTTGTTTATGACTGACTGAGATTAGAGCTCAACAGTACACACCTACAAACGTTTCAAGGATCAGACTCAAGTTCTGTTAGCCCCAAGTGGTGTGTGTTTCTTTTGGATTAATGAGCTAGTATTTGATGGTTCACATTATCAATTTCAGTTAGTAGTTTTCGTTTGAGCGCATTATCAGTAGGTAACTGTCCCACTTCTGATGATTTTTGACTCTGTGTAAGCACTTAACAAATGACGTGATCAGATTACCAATCATAAACCATATGAAAATAAATAATGCATACCTAAAATTCTTGATTGGGTTTACAAACTACGTTAGTCACTTTCTATCCAAAGAAGAAATCTGGGTATATAATGTATGCCAGGTATCTAAGAGTCTTATTATTTGTTTGAACACATAAACATTGGAATAAGAGGGCACCAAATAAATATGTGCCACAAAATAACAATCAGGTTGTGCAGAGATAGGGAAAATAAAGTGCGTATAATACAAAAGAAGAACAATAAACAGAAATAAGTGTGAGATGTGAATAATGTTAATGATGATAATAATGGGAGCAGCAGTTCAGTTAGAGCGCCCAAATGCCCTGGTATGGCCAAGGGTGTATAGAGTCAGCTATCTTTCTCCAAATGCTTTCACATGGCCACGTGCATACAACAAATGCCAGGAAATTCCTACTCAGTGCCTTCTCGTGGCAGGGGCGTTGTTTAGGAAGTTGAGAGAACGAAAAGCGAATGTTCGGCGCTTTAACCGGCTTGGTGAATACGGAGGATCTATCTAGGGGAGTCGGGAAACCCTGGTTCCAAACCAATAGTGCACATAGGATCCAGGATCCTGAAGAAACAAATGGCGTATGAACTCATTGTTGGTCACCGGCTACCGTGGTACTACATCTAACGCTGCTCCACTGCCTTGCAGTTTAGACCTCTATGTCAGAAGCTCTGGGTGCGATGCACCCGAAAAACCACCTGTTCCAATTTGGACATCCGAGCAGTATTTCAGCCCTCACACAAATAGAATGATTTGTGTGGCGCATATGTATTTTGTGAGTCCTTGTACCAACGTTTGTCTAAATAATCAATAAGTTCAGTTATTAAAAATGAAACTAGTTAGAATTCTTTCAGTTAAAGAATTTACTCTCACTGTTATGAAGAAATTAAAATAAAGTTACAGCAGGATCTTCAATGGCTTATATTCTGACCTATGTCTGATAACGACTCAATCCACTGTGTTGCACTATATCTAGGTCCCCAACCAGGGAGTTGCGAAGGGGCAACATATGTGGTATTGGCTGGTTGACATTCGTAAGGCATGTCCAAGCCATCTAAATAGGTGTTCCAAGATGGTTACATCATCTGAATTATCGTTGCTGTGTCCGGACACACTGCAGTGCTAACATGGTGTTGCCACTGGATGTCAGAAATCATTCGGACAACGATGATCAAACACAGAGAATCGCTTAACATACTCAACTCTCAGAGAGGCCAATTTTCACAAGCATAGAGTAAAACTGCTCTCACTGATGCGTTGTAGATCTGGCCTTTCACAGCCAGACTAATATCACGAAGACGCCAAAGATGGCCCAGATTGGCATAAGACGCTCTGGCTTTCACTATACGTGCATTGATTTCATCACTCACGCCACCATCAGCACTTATGCAACTACCTAGATACACCAACTTCTCGAGTTCTATCCGCTCACCGGTAGTAATTACCATTTGATTATTTAGACACAAACGTTGGTACAAGGACTCACAAAATACATATGCGCCACACAAATCATTCTATTTGTGTGAGGGCTGAAATACTGCTCGGATGTCCAAATTGGAACAGGTGGTTTTTCGGGTGCATCGCACCCAGAGCTTCTGACATAGAGGTCTAAACTGCAAGGCAGTGGAGCAGCGTTAGATGTAGTACCACGGTAGCCGGTGACCAACAATGAGTTCATACGCCATTTGTTTCTTCAGGATCCTGGATCCTATGTGCACTATTGGTTTGGAACCAGGGTTTCCCGACTCCCCTAGGTAGATCCTCCGTATTCACCAAGCCGGTTAAAGCGCCGAACATTCGCTTTTCGTTCTCTCAACTTCCTAAACAACGCCCCTGCCACGAGAAGGCACTGAGTAGGAATTTCCTGGCATTTGTTGTATGCACGTGGCCATGTGAAAGCATTTGGAGAAAGATAGCTGACTCTATACACCCTTGGCCATACCGGGGCATTTGGAGATAAAATTTAAAGGAATGAGCCTCTGTCGGCTATATTGACGAAATAAACATTGTGGATGCTCTCGATTGGATCGACTCGCGGTTCCCTTCGAATCGATGTGGGCGGGCTTAGTTCACCAACCAGTCAACTCCATTGGTGGTCGAATGCGCTTCTCACTGCGCCAAAAGAAATTAGAATGATTTCATTACTAACTGTAATCTGCCTTTAAATAACATGTAGTTTCATAAATGATTTTTATTCTCATCCAATAAATTGATCTAAATTGGACTTCAAATAACTGGTATGCTTATTAAGCCTTCATATACTGCTTGCCATCAAAATACTGAGATATATACGTATAGCTCTTCCAAAATTTTAATTTTTTAAATCTTCGGGTAAACCTACTGTGCCCATTATTCCATTCCCGTTGTCAAACACGCAGTATCGATTTTATAATTATTACCCGCTCAACACTTTAAGCCTCAGTGCATGTGATGTATTTGATACAACTATTTATGGCAATAAGCAAACGTAGAAAGTGATTAGCAATGGAATTCAAGACGCACGTTTTGTCCGTTTTAATACCGGTCAGCTGGGTATAGTTGCGTCTTAGAGCTGGTGTTCACTTCGAGACTCGAACCTAGTATCATTCGCTTTAAATTTCATCGCGTTATCTAATGAGCTATTGAATCCAGTTTGTGTAATGGAGTATGTTTAATTCATTCGTACTGGTTGTTTAAATCTTCCCATTGATATTAAGGACTGCAATTGATCAGTCTTTTTTGGCGTATATGCATGTAAAATATATCAAAGTGTATCAACTATCAAGTTATTCTGTGACATTAATTATTTTCATTAATGTAATGAAATCTATTCAATATTGCAAATTTATGTTAACATTCAACCACTATTTTACACTTGTCATTTTTTCAAGGTGGAGTTCCTGGTGACATAACCGTCATTCTAGGATTAGTTATTGAGGAGAAACCATCACCAATTAGTAATCATGTAAAAGAAACACGATCCTCATTAAATCATCATCATCACCGTCGTCATCATCATCATCATTTACTTTTTCAACCAAATCGAAGTTTATCATGTTTTGAATTAAACTATAATAAATTTCATTCATTCATTTCTTCCTCTTCAACATTGCCAACTTCTTCAACTAGTACTAATACTGCTACGTCTTTTTCTTCAAAATTATCTCGAACTTATTCATGTACTTAATACCTTTTTCTAGTTAGATTCGAAAAAAAGTCATAACTAGATTTATCTTGTCCTACCGTCTACTAAGACGGTCAGATACTGTTTAAAAGTTATCAACTAGTTGACTATTTAACCTTTTTTTTCTCTCACTCTCACACACACATACACTGCACATCTTTGACTACACATATTGTAAATACTTTTAACCAATGAAGTTAGCCAAACAATTGTTATCATTATTCTCTTACTTTCTTATAAGTGTTTTATCTTTTCACAGTAAGTCAAATAATCCATTTGTTTATAATGAGGGAGAATATCAATTTATGTGTAGAGATGATCTTGTGTTGTATAATTGTAGAAATCATATTTATCATATGTCTGTTTTATTTCCAAAAAAAAAATTAATTCCCTTTTCTTTTGTTTGTTATCAGTTTTATTTAGAATTTTTATTTCCATTGTATATATGTGATACATTTGTGTGTATAGAGGACATTAGATGGCTTTGATTGTTTTTTTTTTATTATTTGTTTTATCTTGATTGTTGTAAATGATCAATTTAATTGGTTGGGTAGAATTAATTAATGGTTGTGCATATGCATATGTGCTCTTTCCAAATAACTGGGAAGTTATTTTATTGTCATTTTTATGTTATTTGTATATTACACAAAATGTGATCAATCTGAGTACTGGATTCAAGATATAGTTAATATTATATCTTGTTAACTGTTTTCGTTGTCACTTTCCTCTTTTATTGTATTGATGTGAAGTGTGACAATTCCAATTCGTTATGAATTCATTCCAGTTTCTACGTTAATGATAATCAATTAAGTTCACGTCTTAATGTAAATATCATCATTGAGTTGTCGTAAATTGAACGAAAAGTGTATCCTGATTTTCGTTGCTAGAAACTACCGAAAATACAATTTTGTGAAGTTCGGTTGGAAGCAAAGACTTGAACTAAACAGATGTCTAGTATTTTTTCGTATTCAATCATTCTCTAACCAAAGCTACACCATGATAATAATCATCTTGGAACTATATAAATATCTACAAAAATCGGAATTAAGTAGTGTAATTTATATCAGTTATGTTTGGTGACTTTCGAGGAAGTTGGTAGTTGATCTATTTTTTTACAGAGAGAATTGAATTTTGTGGTGAATACATTGAAAGTTTTAACTAAATAAAATAATATTGATTGATAATAAATATCATTACATAACCAACATGTAACTTTCGTTCATCTTCTATAACTTCGTGCCATTTGGTGGGAGCTGATAAACATGATGTCATATTGTTGCAGAAAACAAAAACTTTTGTTTTCTAAAAAACCATTTAATTGGTTTTCTGTTTCATCAGTTCAACGAAATTTTATGCCTGAATACTATTATGGCGCTCTAATTTATGCATTTGTTTGTTTTATATTTAACATGGAAATTATATCTAGTTTTAGTCAGCTAAGATAAACGTTTGATTTCAAAATTATTAAACGAGAAAGAGCTAAATTCCTAATATGGATTGTCCACGTTTTTCGGTCTGTTCACTCATGGGTGATTGTCACAGCTCAATAAATCACACGGAAGAAGTTAAATTATTTAAGGAATAAAGAAAAAGAATTTCTTTTACTATCGATAGTGTTATTAAATTAGGAACGGGAACACAAAGCTTAAATAGCATGTTTATGTAGCAGGTAAAATTAAGGTTCCGTACAATTTTTCCTATTGGTGAATTCCACTAAATAAGAACTATTAACGTAACAAAATAACATGAATTCAGCATATTTCGCGATTTCTGATCAGTTACTTAAAGCCCTACAGATCAATATTATCAGTGAGTAATACTTCGTTTCAGAAGCTCGCTCGTTTATCAGTAAGTTGGAACAGATCTGTTAAAAGTTTTCTGTCTGTAGTTTAAAAGACACCTTTCAGTTTACTTAAATACTAGAAAAAGTTGACGTTTCTAATACATGTTTGCTCTTAATGTATTATCATTATTTACCGCAATTCACTGGAAGAAACCGTGCTAATAAAATGTCAATAGGCTGATCTACTCTCGCTACAAAGAAATGAATTCAAGCAGCTCTTACTAAAGATATTTGTTATATCCTAGTGAGGATTAAGTTATAGGTAACTTCTGAGAACTATTTATGGACTAATATTATACGTATATTCTTATTATATAACTATTCAGAAACTAAATTACGTATATCTATATTCCTCTTATTATAAACTTTATTTTGACCTATAGACTATCATGATACGATTTAATATTCTTAAATTGTGCTCAATTTGTTAATTGAAGTCTCTCACGATTGCAGCCACTTTTTTGCTTAATCTTGTACAAATGTTATTTCCTATTTTATGACGTGATGTGGTTCGTTTGGCTTGTATATAAACCAAGTATATTTGAAATAAACGATTTGTATATTGTAAGTTGGTATTAGTGTTCTGGACTCAACTGGTAGGGCTAGGCTGCTTATACTGGTCGATACGTCGTTGGTTTGGCACAGTGCTAAGATTGTATAGATCGTATTCCGATTGGCAAATAAGTCACGTGATAATTAGCGGGGCTTAAAGACAACAATATTCAGTTTCAATTCAATAACGTCTTACATCTTCAGAATAATGGAGTAACTATGGTTCGACCACTGAGTCTGGTTCTGGCAGATATCTTTATAGGAAACCTAGGGCAGACAGTAATGAAATCGGTAATCAGTGATACAAATCTTCACTTCAGGTATTTTCATAATATATTTATGGCCTGTGATGGTTGTTAGCACGCTTCTCATAAACTGAAAATTCTCAATATGGCACACGCGAATATTAGATTTATAGTGGAATATGGACATGATAACGTGTTCCGTTTTCTAGACCTTGGTATGAATCGTAATACAAATAGTGTATTGGAGAGATATTTATCGCAAGGAAAAATGGAGTGGAATATATTTAAACTTCAGTAACTTCTGTACGATAAGCTACGAGATGTCATTGATTATAACGCTTTTCAATCTTGTCAAGGAAATGAGAAACGGCAACTACAGTTTATTAGCGAATAGCGCAGATCACAAAGCTATAAGTACATCGAGCAAATTTGAAGCGGAGAGGCGAATAAGCATATACGACCAACTACATAGGCAAACCTATAGTCAAATGCATAAGGGCGCAGCAAGGCAAAGCAGGGACTAACAATAGAATTTGAGTACATATATAATTAGGGAGGAGGATAAATCAGCGAGTGATAATTTAAGCAATCAACGTTTTAGCTAGAGTGTATCATTGTGCTTAAGTGATCATAACGGTACAAAGAAATATGAGAATTGTTACTGTTCGAATAACATTGTCAGTTAAGTTAATAAAAAGGCTTAACCGTAATCGAAATTGGCTGTAGGATAGTTGCTATAATAACTCTCTCCTGCAGACAAAGATATATGGAAAAAATGTCTGTGTTTGCACAAAGAATGGTAAACCGGATATAATAATTACGGTCGTTTGAAAATAACGCCTTACACAAAATTTCAATGAAGATAATATGTGCTGTGTAGCTGGTTCGTGCCCACCCCTGAAGTTATATAAAATACTGGTAAGAAATAAAAGGAATGTGGTATCATTTAAAAGAAATTATATATATAAGGGTACACAAGATATGCCGAGTTTTACAGTGTGTCATGAGCTTAATACTCTGTATGTACACAATAAAGGGGAAGAATTATAATTACTATTCAAAATAGTGGAAAATTATAAATTTAAAATTGTAGTGACGTAGAGTTGCGGCCATCTTACTCTGTGGCCGAATCTCGTCGTTACCAGAGTCTCCTCATTTTGCTTCGTAAGCATCGATGATTCTATTTCGTTTTTTGTGACCCTTTTCTAGGGTTCTGTACTTGTCGATTGAAGATCGTTATCGATGAAAGCTGGTTTCACTCAGTCAGTGCTGATTACATTTGTCTTTCGAACTTTTCCTACGGTAACTGTCTTATCTGTCCTCGTAATCACTTTAAATGGACCGTCGTACTTCGGCTGAAAGGTGGATGTACATTATTTCTCCTAATAAATACGTGAGTGCTATTATGTAGTTCTTGCGGTACGGACACTCGTCATTGTTGTAATCTGGGAAGTGTTATTTTTAAATCGTTCATGCGCTTCTTCAGGCGTTGCACGTAGTTGGCTACATCAGTTGGAACACTTTTACCTGAAGCGAAAAGTTCTTCGGGTAGTAGTAGTAGAGTAGTTCCATATACCAACTCTGCTGGATAACATCCAATATCCTGTTTAATCGTTGTTCTTAAATCCAAAATGATTAGAGTAGGCTTCTTAGTCCAATCGTTGTTGACAATGACAGTCATAAGAGACGCTTTTAACTGTCTGTTACGGCGTTCAACCATACCGTTTGCCATCGAATGTTAGGATATCTTGCGAATATGTTTAATTCCGAGTTCTGTAAACTACTGGGATTGACCTCCTCTATCAGTTATGATAGAAAGAAACCATGATTTGGGACATGTAGGATCTCTTCATAACATCTACTAATTCTTGAACATTCTCAACATAGACTTTATTCTCTTTTCCCAAGTTGTTTGAAAAAATCAGTTTTAATGAATGACATGAAAATCTCTCTGTTAGAATCTTTGTTCTTGCTCTTTTTAAAATGATAAAGAGAATTATGTGTATGAAAATCTTTTTATTATATTTGATTTAATGTAAATGCCTAACCACAAAACATGTTTGTTTTACCTCCCAATCTTGTTTCTTCGTTATTTTATAGCTTGTGTGATAATTATCGATCAGAAGGTAAGTTTATCAATCATGAATCTAGACTATATGTATATATACATGTTAAATGGTCAAATTTATTGACAATTAAAATTGTTAATCCAAATATTTTATTACTTGAACGGTTTGTTTGTATTCATCATTATTCATGAGTGAAAACTCTAAGCTTTTTGAATCATGCGAATAACATGTGTCCTGATTAAGGTTGCCTCTTTATTTCTTCAACTTCAAATCAATTACCATTGATTAGTTAGGTATTTGACCCAAAGTGATTTTTAATTACATATATACATGTATATATCATTATACAAAAACAGTATTGAGGTCAACAGTTATCGTGACAGAACAATTGATTAATAAAATGACAAACTTCATTAAAGTGGTCTACTTGATAATTCTGTGGTCGAATTGATCTCTAAATTCCAATTAAATACGCTCTAAAAAGTAGAAACACTGGCCAACTATCTTTGATGTTAGAAAGGAGTTAGAGCTACTTTTTTATGTATTGATTGCCAAAATAAAATAAAAACAATTGGTGAATATGGAGTGGAAATAAGTTACAACACCATTACAATTACATTTCTATTTATTGTATCAGTAGTAACTATTTATCTTCCGGTGTAAGGCTTTCAATTCCACTATTTCAGAATATCAAAAGTCTTGATATGCCAGTGAGTTAATATCAGGATCTCAGAAACTATAGGAAGTAGTCAAAATTTCAAATTAGTTAACGAACGCATAGTAATTGTTATAGCAATCCACTTCTAGACATCCTCTGTAACTTATTGTTCCATCGAAAGACAATAATCGCCGAAGAAATTTCTTTTCTATCAATGACAAAGTTTATTTCATGTTGTGTTGCTTGCGATAAATAAACGCACATTAATGCGATCTAGATTTCGTTCTTGACAATATTCATCGATGCCGCTCCTATCTCGCTATAGTCTGTCTTCCTCTTTACCATGAATTAAGAGATTTTCTAGGAACATCTCTGAGTTAGATAGGTTAGAACTATGTTTTACCAATAAATAATAACAGTAAGAAAATGTAAATCAATAGACTTCTAAAGCTTGTGATCCCGAGAAAATTATTAATTTTATTTGGATTCACCCCTAAGTTTAGTAATTTTTTCTCAATAAAATTTGTATAAGAAACATATGTACTGAATAATTCAGTGATTTCAACTATCGTAAGGTGTTATACTTTCGTTTTGATCTAGCCCTCACATTTGGTGTGATTCACTGCCAGAAACCTGATGAATGAGTTAATAAAATATAAAAAATTACAACCCAATAACCTCAACATAAGAAATTGGTGAGAAGTGATCATATCCAATATCAACAGAGTATTGTACAGATGAGTCCTCATTGATTACATTAAGTTGATTTACAGTA